GAAATGGTATACAAAGTGAGAATTTGTTAATTTGTCGGTGTGAACATGTTTGAGGATGCAGATGTGTGTATGAGCATTGTGAATGAAAGTGTGCAACCATGTATAGTTGTGTGTGAGAATGTGATTTTGTGTGGCTGTGTGATTAAAGTTGTGTCAATGTGGACAGGTGTGAGTTTTCATTAATTTGAAAGAATGTGAATTTTTTGTACATGTGTGATTTTTACTCCAAAATGGATGGAGCAGTAGGTCCTCTTGTTATGTGGGCTAAACCAGGCTCAGATAAGCACACTTTTGTAAGTGGAGTCTAGAAATGAAGAAATACAATTGATAGTGAAGGTGGAGAACTGGGAAAGAAGAATGAGATGGGGTGGGCTAGAAAGAAGAGCATATGAAATGGGAATGGGGCTGAGTATGATTAGATAGATGCATTGTATGCATACAATATTACAATGAAATCCATTTTATAAAAATAATGTGCTATTAAGAGGGTAGAATTCTAAGCAGGGATGGATTTTTTTTCAGAAGGAAGTTTTCTGAGCATTAGGCTTTTATAGTAAGGGAAGTATCAGAAATACTATTTTGTTATTTATATAAAGAGTGCCCACTACTTAGCATAGTAAATGGTGTGTAAATGTGAGCATTGATGTTCTAAAATAATAGACTCTCACTGCTATATTTTAAATATTTGCTGTAAAATTTTCATTTTCTTGGCTTTATTTTTGAATTTATCTCATTGGAAAATATCTTCAACTGTCTAGGAATGTGTGTCAGATCATGTTCCCAAATTACACACTGGTTTTATAATTTTGTAGTGTAAAATGCTAATGTATTTTCATTGTATTGTTTCTTGGAGAAAAAGTGCAATAGAGGGTTTAAGAGGTCAAAATGAACAATACTTTTAAAGCCAATACAACTGAGTTTTTCAGAGCAAGGTCACAGTGGTCAGCAGTCCTCACACACTAATCATACATAGCCTTGCGCAGAACTGAGGGTAATTCTTGCATCAGAAGTAGCCTGGAGGAAGGGTACCAAAGTCTGAGCTGAAAGCAGGACTTGATCATGTGTTAATTGAATACCTGCAGCACTGTGGGGAAGAGGGGTAAAGTGCAGGAGCTGTGAACTCATGTGGCTATCCAGCAATGAACTGAGGTAGTGTTAGAGAAGACCTGGGATTTAGAGGTTCTGGTTCTTAGACATCAGCATGTTTGCAAAATTTGAAAACGAGGGTATCAAAGCATTCTTGGCAGTGTGTCAAGACTGACCTACCGTCAAACTGACAGATCCTGCAAGAACCTGCATGTGCTTTGTAAAGGGACTCTTTTGTTGGCTTAGAAACTGGTAGAGCTGCTACAGTTCTACACTACACTAGTAAAATAAAACAAATAGCTTTATTTATTAAAACACAAAATATTACTATAGCTAGACACTAAGCCATCAGCCTTCTACCTTCCCCTCAGTTCCTGCTGCCTAAAGGCAAATCAGTCTCCAGACACTCAACATTTGATCCAAAAACATGCCTTCTCTCAGCTCTTGAGACCAACAGGAAAGGGGTACCAAGACTAATAGAAAGGCCATTGAGGGAGGGAAATTTTTAGACGGTCAGAGGAGTCTGCTCCAAGGTGCCCTCTTATCAGTTATACAATACTAGATGGTCAGCCTTGAAATGGCATACATATAACGCAACACTAAGGAGGGTTTAGCAAGGTTGTGCATTTGTGTGTGTGTGTGTGTGTTGCAATAACAAAGGAAACAGAGGCCAGGGATTTGAGAGGTAGCAAGGGGCAGTAGGCCACAGGAGAAGTTAGAGAAAGAAAAAAAAAAAAACGGAATGGGGAAGGGGAAGATGATGTAATTACATTTTAATAAAATAAAACCTACCTCCTTAAATAGCATATCAGGTCTGTTTCTTTAATTACCCATCAAATTGTGCTGAAGTATCATATGCTACCCTAGTCTTAATGTTTTTTCATCTTTGGTTCCTGTTCATTTATGATCGGCACCTTCCAGATTCCAGTTCCTCAAATTTCAAATAATGCTGGCAAAGGAATGCCAGTCACGATCTCCTCCTACCACGGGCTGTTAGATCACCCAAAGTAATGCCCTGCATTTCACCTACTCTAAGCATGAACCCAAGGGACCCATCCAGCTCATTCATTACCCCTGTTCAGCTTCCACACAAGACTGATCATCAGCCCAGTCCTAAACACCCGGGTCCAGGTCCTTGAAGGGGAAATGTTATGCTAAATATGTAAATTAAATGCTAATCTGTTAAGAGTTGAGGGTAAGAAATGGTCTTACAACTGAATGTTGCAACAGCCAAATTAACTAGATAAAAACAGGGCTCTAAAAATAAATTAGTGGAGGATGGAGATGGCTCAGAGGTTAAGAGCACTGAGTGCTCTGCCAGAAGTCTTGAGTTCAATTCCCAGCCACCATCCAATGCTGCACACCACCGCAGGGAAAAATATCCTATACTAACACACACACACACACACACACACACACAGATGTAATGCACACTACACTGGTAATTGTCAGGAGTTGTCAGAGGTCATCGGCTGATTCTATAAGTGGAGCAGTCTCCCACTGCTCCATTTCAGACCCAGACAGTCTCAGTGTCCTCCAAGGCCCTTGTTGACAGATAGAGGTGGTTCCCCACCACTCTGACAGGCAGAGTAAACCAGCCCAGGAGTAAAATGTGTCCTTGAAATCAGCCTGAAGATAATTCCCAACAGTTCTTACTGCTGTTTATTCCCTAATATTGAGGTGACCAGAGTGAAAAAGACAATTCAGATGTTCAGTCACAGCAAGCTGACCCAGGGCAGAGAGGCCACTCTCCATTGAACCTCCAGCAACTGCCCCAACTCTCCCAGTCCACTTCTGCAGGATACTCTTGCATCTCTTCTGGTGTGTTTCTGCTATTTGTTTTTTTACCAGGAAGCATCACCTGAGGAACACTCTGCTCTGCCCAAAGACTCCACAGGAAGGCCACTCTGCTGTCTTACCAGGCCTTCCATTAGTTTCTGTTGGGTGTTTTATGCACCTGACTTGATGTGTGGCTTCCTATCATCTGTCACTTGCTATTTAGTCTTTGGGTTTGGTCTGCTGGACACTTAGCATTTTGCTTTCTACTGCTGTGATAAAGACTATGACAAAAAGCAGCCCAGTGAGAAAGGAGTTTCTTTAGTTTCCTTAGTTTGCAAGTCCCAATCACAACCCATCACCAAGGGAAGCCAAGTGGGAACTAAGATGACAACTTCAAAAGGAAAAACTTAATCCTCTACCCTTTACATCCCGTCTGTAGCTGTCACAATAAAGCTTGCCTGAAGATCAGAGTGCAAAGTTAAGCGACTAGAGGCCAGGAAGTGGTAGCACAAACCTTTAATCCCAGGATTTGGAAAACAGAGGTAGACAGATCCCTGTGAGTTCAAGGCTATTCTGGGCTACACAAGATCGGTCCAGAAACAGATCCAAGGTGGTGCCACCTCACACCTTTAATCCTAGTGTCTGGCAGTCACATGCTTTTAATCCCAGCACTGGAGAGGTGGAGACAGGAGAAATATGACTGAGCAGAGAGAGGAAATAAAGGGGAAGAGAGAGGAACTCACTAGAGTGTGGAGTCTGAGGTCTGGTGGAGACAGTGCGGTCTAGGCAGTCTGAGGACCGCCAGAGGTAAAAGGGTGCCTCTAGTGGCTTATCATTCTGCTTCTCTGATCTTCAACTTTAACCCCTATCTGTCTCTGGGTTTTTATTATTCATACTACACACAATCTCTTGGAAATTACTGTAGATATTTCCTACTAATATCTATACTAAAAGTATTGATTTAAACTCAATCGTCAGAGTGTTCTAAATTTGTGTTTACTTTTATCAGACTTTCATATTTTCAAGTATATTCTACTAGCAAGTTTCTTTTCGTTTGAATAACTAATTCCCTTTTGCATTTCTTTAATAAGTCAAGAGGTGATGTCATCTCACAGCTTTTGTCTCTGAGACTGTTGTATTTTTGGATGTCAGTTTTGTTGGCAGGCAGGGTTTTACTCAGCACTTTGAATGTATGCTAGTCTGAGCTAATGGCTATTACAGTCCATCACCACCTCACTTTCACCACAGAAGAGTGGAGGTGGGGAGTCTGTCCTTTACTGCATTTTAAGGTGGTTCTAAAGCCATGCTCTGTGCTTGCTTCCCTCATACCCCAAGGAGATTGTATCTTCAAGCTCTGCTGGCGGAATGTGGGCAAATACCACACAGGGAATGTACAAACTATCTTTTCTTTTCTTTTTTTTAATATTTATTTATTATGTATACAATGGTCTATCTGTGTGTATGCCTGCAGGCCAGAAGAGGGCACCAGACCTCATCACAGATGGTTGTGAGCCACCATGTGGTTGCCGGGAATTGAACTCAGGACCTTTGGAAGAGCAGGCAATGCTCTTAACCACTGAGCCATCTCTCCAGCCCCAAACTATCTTTTCTATCCAACTCAATACTATTATCCTATAACTAGGTTCTTTGTTCTTATATGCCTTGCCTAATTTGATTTGTCTGCCTTTGCATACATATAAAATAGAAGAAATAATCCAATGAAAACTCAAAAGCCACAGTAAACTTGCTGTATAATTTGCTGAGACTAGAACTGTGAGGAATTCAATCTGGATGTCATTGATGAGATACCACTTTATAGTGGTAGTAATGAAGCTATAAATCTCACATAAAACACACAGGAAGTCTGTAGAGTCACTATGAATTTTTAAAACTTAAAAAAATGTTCTAAAACCTAAGAGTTGGGATGACTACACAGAAAAAAGTCTTTGGTCTATATATTTTATAATGAACAAGTTTTATAACATGAAAATTACAACCCAATGTGACAAAAACTGTTTTAAGTAAGGTTAGATAAACGCATTACCAATGTTTTCCATATGTATGTGTATGAATATGCAGAGGATGAAGGAAAGGAGAGTGAGCACATGAACATGAGTGACAATGGAGACAGCAAAAAGCAGTAAAAATTTAAACAACATATGAGTCTAGATAAAAAATATAAAGGAGCTCTACCAACATTTTCAGTTTGAATTGTTATCAAAACTTAAGATTATTTTAAAAAGCCAAGAATATCATGTAACAAGGTTCCTTTAATTATACCTGTTTTCTTCAATGAAGACCATATACATCCTCCATGAGAAAACTGAATGCAATTTTAATAGTTACTTCAAGAATGTAATTTGGTTATAACACCAATACAATGCACTCTACATTCTACTGACTTAAACTACTGATGAATCGTGTAATATGTGCAGATGCAAAGCCTTCCAAATCTGACAAGGCAGTAATTGAAAGACCACTTAGACAGGAATTGAGTTTTTGGTTTCATTGTGATTTTGAGATTAAAGGTAATTATACAATTATTCAGAATATATTTTGTTACTTATTTACATCATAAAATACTGCTGTTCTAAAACCATTCCGTCAGTGAGACAATAGAATCTGAAAGAAAATGAGCACTCATGCTGCATTTTCAAGACATTACAAGCATTTAAATTCTGATTATATCTCTATGTTTACAATTCAATAGCCCCTTTTAAAGGCCATTTCACATGGTGAGTCAAGAACAGAGTGAAGTACATCGTAATGTTTTCCACTGATATATGTAGAAATGCATTTACCCATGGCATTTTTTTTTTCCAAAGCGAAATATTACTATCAGGAGATGATAGTTTTTCAATTATTTTAGCTTGAAAATTTAAAAAAAATACTTACCAGTAGATAAAGGCACAATTTTTACTCACTTCAAGTAATCAACCACAAAATGATTGCTTACTTTCAACATGATTGATTGACATTTTTCAAACAATCTGTCTTTAATCCTGACAGCTCTTTATTTATTATGTTTCATGTACTTGCTATGGGTTACTAGTCTCCAATGGGTGTCATCATGGGAATTACCAAAATATGATAATATGACAGAAGGCTGACAAAGTGTTTCTCATCCTTGAATTATATGCCAAGTCAAGAATGGGGGTTGAAGAGTGTAGCAAAAAAGAGACTGCAGGGCAACTTATATCCTTGTAATAAAACCAGCAGTATCAAGAGAGTTATCATCTCACTTCCAATTTCTTCCCCTCAAGAACAATTTGAATCTCTTTGGCATCCAAAGTCTCATAAGTCAACAATGCTTCTGCTAGATTCTTATGCTCTTTCGCATGAGTTTTCAAGATATGTTTTGCTCGATCATATGACTCCTGAAAGAGAAAAGCATAAAGAAAAAAAAAATGAAGAATCTTTTTTCATAGAAAAAAATGAAGAAATGCAATAACCATAGGTAAGGAGAAAATAAAACCAATGAGGCTTTAAAGTGTGTTGATTTCTACTTTTAAAAGCACTTAAAAGCTTTGTTCCAAAATATGAACTGTTTGTACGTAAGAATATAAACAGCACATGGAATGTATCACACAGAAGAGTTTGGAAAATGTTTCGAGAGTCTCTGCCTTTCTAGAACGTTCATTTTTTTCTGTTGTAACTAGCTTGGGTATTTCTTTCTTTATCCTCCAGCAGTTAATTAAAGCCTGGCTGCTTCCTTGGAAGACCTGCTTTCCTGAAATTCTTATTGTTATTCCAAACACTTCTTTGTTCCCATCACCATTTACAGATCCTTAGTAACCTCTCTCTTGCAGAAAGTACTACTCCTGAAAGTCAAACCATCTGAGTATTAGCTACAAGCCATCTGACGAATACTGATTACATTCCTCATTCAATGGACACTGCCCCTCAGCCAGATCTTTTTCTTCATCCCAAGAGCCACCTTAAGAGATGGGTAATTTCAGTATCTAAGAACACAAAGCAACCTTACTAGTAAGCTCCAGACCAACATCCCTATTTCTAACTTAGAGTCTTCATTATGATATACAAATTCAGTAGCTTCTTATTAAACAAAAGCAATCTACCCACACCAATAACTTGCATCCCAGTTTGGTCTCCAAGTTCTTCAGTTAATGGCACAAACAATACAGTTACCAGAGGCAGAAATCTGGAAAATGGTTTCAGCAGCTCTCTTACCTTTCCTATCTGATACATAATATTTTATGTCTATGTAGCCAAGGGTGTCCATGAACTTCTAATCCTCCTGCCTCTGCTTTCTAAGCGCTGAGGTTGTAGGTATATGCTACCATGCCTCGTTTCTGTGGTGCTGGGAATTGAACTCAGTGTTTTGTGCATGCTAGGTAATTACTACCAACTGAACCACATCCCTAAATTTGCATCGGTATCTCTTGTGCACAATCAGGGTTTCTTCATCTCTATATTTTATAGGGTGAGATTTACAATCAGTAGTTATCATCAACTTGTTTTTATTTGCAGTCCTGGGACTAAACCTAAGGCATTTCATAAAGTACAAGCACTCTGGACTAGAACTGTTAACTGCCCACCACCATGTTACCATTTTTAAAGTATGTAGGCACATTTTGTAACAAAAAAAAAAAAAAAAATCAAGCTCAGAAAAATATTACCCGCAGAAGAATTCTTATTTCTTGTTCAATGGCAGATTGTGTTTCAGGACTTAGTGTTCCTGAATCACTGTAGGTCATGACTCCAAGCTAAAATCAAAAAGCATAAAATAATTGAACAAATTACTACCAAGAAGTTTAGCACAGTAAGTAGTAGCCTATATATAAACTGGGGACAAGAAATGCAACATAAAAATGTTGAGTATAATGAAATATCATTCTACGGAAACCATAAGGACAAATCAAAATAGCAAATGAGGGTATGATAGAAAATTAAAGTACTTTAAGTGTCTTCTCAGAAAACTGACAGCTCTCCCAAATCTAGATTACAATGTAATCTAGGATTACAATGAAATAAAAAATGTAAGTAAGTTCAGAAAGATGAAAGAGTTAAATAATTTAATTTAGCAATTTATTAATTCAAGAGGTCTAAGTAGAAAAAAATCTCTATTACTACTCAGAGGAATACTTAGAATTAAGTCTTGAATTAGGAACCAGAGAATGAAAAAGAATGTTATCAATTCATAAGTCTATCAAAGAATGACATGGGAAATAAACTACCTTTTCACTCATTCCAAATCTGGTAACCATCCTCTTTGCAATTTGCGTTGCATTATCAAAATCACTAGAAGCACCTAGACATAAACAAACAAACAAATACCTTCTGAAAATCATTAAAAGAATAAATATGAATATTTCAAGTAATATACTATGAAAAACCAACCTGTTGTAATATGATCAGTTCCAAATATAAGCTCCTCTGCCACTCTTCCTCCCATGCTAACATCCATTTGTGCAAGCAGCTGGGCCCTAGTCTCATTCCATCTGTCATTTTCAGGCAATAGTGAAACCTATACGGTTTAATAATAACCACGTAATAAAAAGGAAAGGCATTCAGACACACTTCTGAAATAGGTACACTCATAATCAAAGCTGTTCAGTGTTTCCAGACACTATTTGATAGACATGGTCAACAGGTAACTTAATACATGAAAGCTTTATGACGTGAAACCAACATGAAAAACAAAGAAAATCCTGTACAGGTGCATCTTACAAAAAATAGCTAGATAATGCTGCAATGGGACTTTTTTTTTCCAGCTACATAAAAATATTCAACCAGTCATACATCAGAAAGATTCAAGAACGAAGCACATACTGAGAAGCATCTTAGAACTACAGAACCAGTTGCTATGACATAAGATGTGTCTTTATCTCTAGTAGTTTATTTAGATATTTAAAGTTATAGTCTACAATCACTCTTCAATTGTATTTTTGTGGAAATATGTAACCTGAAACATATTATAAAACTACTCTGATCAATTATAGCAAATGTATCTTATTTCAATACTGTTCAAGAAATCAAAAAGGATAAAAAAATCATTGGGAAGTCACAGTCTCCCTAAACAAGCTTCTAGAAAGTTTTATTTGAAAGTGAATTTTAAAATAAGAAAATGAGGTACAGAAGGCAAGGTGGCTCAAACATGTGATCCCAGGACTTGTAAAAGTGAGGCAGGAGGATTACCACAAGTTTCAGGCCTGCCAGGGTACACAGAGTTAAGTTACAGAGTGGATTACAAAGTGAGAAGTGAGACCTGTCTCCAAGCAAACAAGCAAGCACAACTAAACTAAACTTGTACATGGTTCAATGCTGAGAGCCAGATTCCCATGCCTGAGTCTCTTGGGTTCAAACCACAGTCACTGGGTAGGGGTAGGTCTATAGGAAACTTACATGTCCAAGTGTTGGCCCCCGAGGCATGATTGTAGCTTTATTGATTGGCATTGCATCCTTTGTGTAATACGCAATAATAGCATGACCAGATTCATGATAGGCTGTTATGGTTTTGTTTTTGTTATCAATTTCCACACTTCTTCTTTCTGGTCCTAAGATAAATACCATACTATATTAGCAACTGCTAAAATAGTAGCCTATAATCCCAGAACTCCAGAGGTAAGAGAATAATAGGTTCCAGGCTAGCCCATGATTCACTGTGATAACAGGAAGGCAGAAACGCACACATAGACACAGACACACACACACAGAGAATACATGAGGACTCATTCCAGAGACTGGAGGCATTGTGGTTCACAACAGTAATCTCAGCACTCAGGAGGCTAAGGCAAGATGATTACCATGAGTTCACAGGCAGCCTGATGTACATGAGTATAAGTGAGGGCCAGCTGACCAGTTTGGATTATGGTATGACAGTCAGTCTTCAGAAAAAAAAAAAAAACAAAAAAAAAAAAAAACAAAAAACAAGGCAGGGTGAAAAGAAAGAAAAAGATGACCTGCAGAACAAGGGGATGAGAAGGAAGACATACCCATTAGAATTTTATCCTTAGAAAACTCTAGTTCCTTCATGGTAACCATTTCTTTTCCATCAACAGCTGCCTTTAATGCAGCTTGGTTCACAAGATTCTCCAACTCTGCTCCAGAAAATCCAACAGTACCACGAGCTATGATTTCTGGATCAACAGCTACAGACAAAGAGAACAGCATAAGGAATCTCCCATTGCTACACAGAAGCTCTTCCACTGAACTCACGTTTGGAGGTAGAAAAAAGCACAGTTACTCTGAGTTACAACTTAAAATATATATCTTAAAACTAAAATTAAATTCACTGAAACTAATGCCATTGTATGCAAATAATACTAAGTAGTATTTATTGGTAATGTTATTGTTAATAATAATTTCTGGCAATAAAACATCTAGAAAATTTCTAGGTTTTATTAACTTTCTGAAAACAAAACAAAAAATGGACTTACTAAAAATGAAATTAGAAACTTCAAATATGACCTACACTGGGCCTGGAGAGATGGCCCAGCAGTTAAGAACACCAACTGCTCTTGCAAAGAACCCAGGATCAGTTCCCAGCACCCACAGGGCAGCTCCTCTTCTGGCCTCTACTGGTACTGTGCATGTGGTATAAATACATACAGTTTACAAAAATAAAAATAAATATATCTCCAATGTGGGTCTCTGTCTCTATCTCCATCCATCGCCAAAAACAAAACAAAACAAAACAAAAAAACCCAAATATGTACTCATTTGTAATCATTATGCCTTTTTGATGGCTTGGTTCCTTTAACATTGCCACCTGAATTTCATATTGTTTGATAGCTTTCTTTTTAGTTAATTGTTATTGAAGGTCCCATATCTTTTTCTTTTTGTCTTTATATTTTACATATACCACATGATTAGTTCTTATTTTATCTACTTTGACAAGCTTTGCCTTTTAACTGAACTGTGCAATCAATAGAGAGTAAAGTGAGTGACACACAATAAATAAATAAATATACAAATAAATATATCTTAAATATGTCCTATGCTAATGTCCAGCCTGACCACAAATTGAAAAAGCACGCTCACCATCAAATTCTGTTCTCTTAAATATCACTTTCAAACACCTTGGTCTCCCTTTATTATAGGAAACAAACAGGTTGATTAAAGACAGTCTTGAAAATACTGCAGCTTATGCTATGGTCACCTGTTTTCAAGTGATGCCATGTGTCTATGTGCCTTGCTCCACGTTTTGCTTTTTCCTAAATGGAGTCCTTTTTTTGTAATATATATATGCCTGTCTATAAACCCCAAACAAAATTTCCTTTGGGATCAGAATTCAAGAATAAAATACTTTCAAGAATATACACAAACTGAAGAATGCACATAAAAATGGGAATAACGAGAATGAAAAAACTAACTAGTTTGAGGCATAAACCAAAAAAGGACCATAAATAGGATGGCTAGATAAATTCCCATTTTACAGAAATTTTAATGTCAGAATCAAGGAATTGAACTTACATTTGTCAAACTTTATTTTATTGAGATACCATTTCAAAATTTCAGTCCGACCCCTCACATCTGGTCTTGGAACTGTAACTTGCATGTCAAAACGACCAGGACGTATTAAGGCACTGAGAGAAAATTAAAAAGATACATTTAAATTGATAATCTGAAGATGCCAGCATACACTAAACATGTGACAGGGAAACAACGTCAACCAAAGATAAGGCAGAAAGACAGACTTCTGAATATCAATGTTCACACAGTTAAAGCACGGTGACAGTAAGTCTCAGAAGGTTCTAGGGTACTGAACACCCACAACCACAGGACTCAAAAAGCTAAGGAGTACTAGACCAACCCAGGCTATGCAGTGTAAGCTGATGTGAAATAATAATGAGCAGAAGGCAGAACAAAGGTTCATTCGAATACATGTGCAACTAAGGCAGCACTATCTATCCTCCCCCTACGTCAGTCCCCTCCCTCTACCCGATTCCCACTTCAGATCCTCTCTACTGCAGTTGTACCCTTCTCTGATGGTCCTGTTTTTGCTTTCTTGATTTGTGCAGTTACTCAAGGTTATATACTCACATCTGAAGATTTGGAGATGGATGTGTGGTTTCTATATTTAGTCATGCCTGGGACTGGAAACTATTCAGTTGCCCAAGGCCAGTAAAGAACCGTGAAGGAGAACCTACAACCACTATTTTACAAAACCAGCACTATCCCTAAGCACATTCTAAGGATTTGTTCTTATACCCACAGAGTGTAACCTTCACTCCTCATCAAGGAAACTTCTCTTTGCAACTGACAGCGATCATTACAGAAAACTACACATGATCAAAATGCAGAGTTGTGGAGCCCAGTAGCAACTGAGACACGCAGAACAAAGCTCCTACACCTAAAGTTCAAGGGCCACTTAGGAAGAGGGGTGGTGACTGAAAGAGTCAAAGGGTCAGGGAACTTGTAAGACTATGTTAGCTCCTATATAGACGGTTATCTCCTACACTTAGGGGGTCTCACCACCATGGTTGCCTAATCACGACCTCAATAAGGATGATGCCATGTTTTGCTACAGTGGATGGGGGAAAGCTTATGAGGTCTCAACCCTAGACAAAGAATTATAGGTAAGTAAAATGATGAAAACAGGAACAAAAGTCTTTCCCAGGGAAAGGCATACCAAATGATTATCCAATACTAAATAGTCAGACCTAAAAACCATATATATACAAGTAACACTATACACCCTGAATAGGTTGTATGCACATACTTAGGAATATTCACACACACAAGCATCAAAAATTAAAGAAAAAAGGCCTGGTTTGGTAGTGCGTGTGCATCTGTGTGTGTGTTGCAAGGGGGAGGGGATTACATGGGAGGACTTGAAGGATGAAAGAAGAAGAAGAAATGATGTGATTATAGTAGTAAAACAATCATTAAAAATACACACTCCCTTCTCAATTGCTATCTAGAATGCTGGACTGTTGTATTAAAAAAGACAAGCTACTAATCACACAAAAAAAACTCTTATAACATTTTTAAATATGGGAGGGGGACAGGTGCATCTTAGGGCAGGTGCCTGTTGAGGCCAGAAGAAAGAGCCGGAGGTACAGTGGCCATAAGCTGGAGGTATGGGTGATGGAAATCAAACTGAGAGCCACTGCAAAACAGTTGCTTTCTTCACCACTGAGCCATCTCTAGTCCCTTTCCCAACAAAGAAACTTTTAATGCTATAAATTTCACTTTCAAAATGCTTTCTGTTTAAATATGATACATATTTTCAATATTATTGAGAAGTAAATAATTCACTTGGGTTTTAATATATTAGGTTGTGCAAGCATCACTTTGATTTAATTTTAGAACAATTTTCTATTTTAGGAATTCTATGTCCACTAGTAATTATGTCACAGTCCCCAAGCCTCTTGTAGCTAATCTGTTTCTGGGTTTGCTTATTCTAAACATTCCCTATAAATGGAACTGTGTAAGATTGTATGTTGTGGTAGACTTCTTCTCTTAGTACAATGTTGTAGCATATGACAGTACTTCACAGAACTCTTCATACTTACTTATCTAATGCCTCTGGGAAATTTGTGGCACCTATAATGATTACTCCTTCATTGGGTTTGAAACTAGAGAGGGAAAAAAATAGTACCATTTCACTGACTGAAGCACAGCTTACATGTAAAAACACCCATATATAAAGCTGATCATCATTAACTGTAACTGATAATAAACCATTTAGATAAATTGCAAACCACCTGTTACGGTTACTTAGGAAAACAACCTGACATAAATGACTCAGGTGCCTAATTAAATATCAAAAAAAGTGTTTTTAACTTTACCAATTCAAATTATTTGGTTTTAGATCTCTATTTAATCAAAATGTCTCATGCTGACATTAAGAAAGTTCATTCAAGCTGGGTGGTGGTGGCTCATGCCTTTAATCCCAGCATATAGGAGGCAGAGGCAGGAGGATCTCTGTGAGTTCAAGGCCAGTCTGGTCTACAAGAGCTAGTTCCAGTACAGGCTCCAAAGCTACAAAGAAACACTGTCTTCAAAAAACAACAACAAAAAGTTCATTCAAAGTGACATTTCTTCCTTTCTGTATTATGAACACAGATGTAAGTTTTAACTTGATCACAACACTCGGTCATCAACTAGACAGAAACTAGTGTATTAATCCTTACTTTATGGGCTCTAACCCAGGTATTCATGTATACTAGAAGCAGACGATCTACGACTGAGCTATACCTATCCTCCATATCTTTCTTTAGACAGTTTGTGCTTGAATCATTGTTTTTCTCTTATAAATATAATAAATTAAAAATAAGTATACATTTACAATTTCGGGAGAAACTGATACATCAATTAGTAATACAAAAAACATGAAAGAAAAATTTGACTTCTTAAATGAGATGACTGTTATCTACATGTAACATTTAATATCTATACAATTTTACCAAATCCTTCATAAGAACTTACACAAAATCAAGTGTGTAAATATCAAATGCTGAAGATACCTGTTACTCTAAATTATCATTAAATTGGATAAATGCTAACTTTTAAATTATTTCATATATTTAACAAAGACTCAATTACCCATCCATTTCAGCAAGAAGTTGATTGATAGTCTGCCTTGAATATGGATGCATTGGAGATTCAATTCTCTTTCCACCAACAGAATCTAATTCATCAATAAATATAACGCAAGGAGCATTTGCTTTTGCTTCTCCTAAATAAACAAAAAAAAGATTCAAGTAAGTTGAAAGAAATTAACACCTTTTATCATAAAAATATTAAGACTATCAGTACAAAAAAAGTCATAGTAGAAAAAAAACTATGTAGTAAAACATTTTACTAAAATAATAATGTTGGAGGAGGGGTTGTACTGAACATGACAAAATGAGAACTGGCTATCCATTCTTTCCAACTGTACAAATTAATATAATTGGAATTGAAGTTAATAACTCTTAATATAATGCTATAGAATCAATAAATAAAATGGAAAACCAAAACTTTAAGAATTAACTTTCAATAGTCCCTAACTTCATCTTGTATTCCTACTAAGCCTTATTAAGCCTGTTTTAGAATACAGGGCTTTCAACATATCTCAGTAGAAAATGGACTTTAGTTCAAATTCCCAGAACTCAAAGGTGGAAGAGAACTGACTGCATGGATCACACACACACACACACACACACACACACCCCATACATACACACAATAATAATAAAACTGTCTAAATAAAGATTACAAATCCATTTTAGTTCTATCATTAAGTTGCTTGAAACTAAAGCGCATTTATTTCAGAAATTCAATAGAAGAAATTATCAAGAAAAGTGTAAATAAATAAAACATTACTGTTTCTCTAAGTAACAAAAATGTAACATTGTCTAAAATATACATCAAAACATACTAAAAAGATTTCTGATCCTGCTGGCTCCTACACCCACAAACATCTCATCGAATTCTGACCCAGAAGCATAATAAAAAGGAACATCAGCTTCTCCAGCCACAGCTCGGGCTAGAAGTGTCTTCCCTGTTCCTGGTGGCCCAACCAAAAGAATTCCTAAAAGGAAAAGAAGCAGACAAGAATGATCCATTATTTTTAAATCCCTTGATAAGAACCTTCGACATTAATAATTATTAATTTCTGTAATAGAAATGACAGTAATGATCAATATTGCCAACCTTGGGAAAGAAACTACGTTTCTACTGTTCACTTCAAAATTTTCTCTAAAACTAATTTTCCTGTGCCATTTAAATATTTACAGCCAGGAGTGGTGCACACCATTAATCCCAGCACTAGGGAGGCAGAAACAGGTGGATCTCTGTGAATTCGAGGACAGCCTGGTCTACATACTACATAAGGAGCTTTAGGCCAGCCAGGTACAGAATAAGACTCTGGTTCAAACAAACAAACGAACAGACATAAACATATATGTAAAATTCACACATCAACAAGTAAAACAAGAAAGAAAATGAAGACAAAGGAATACAGAGTACTCATTTTGTACAGCATAAAACTCACACTAAAAGATATGCAGCCAAACTGGGCAGTGGTGGCACACGTCTTTAATTCTAGCCCTCGGGAGGCAGAGGTGGGTGGATATCTGTGAGGTCAAGGCCAGCCTGGTTGACAAAACAAGTTCCAGGACAACCAGGGTTACACAAAGAAACCATCTCAAAAAACAAAAAACAACAACAACAAAAAAAAAAAATGAAAGAAAGATATGCAGTCAAATATAATGGAAAAATCTTGGTAATATAGTTCCATTAAAGACCAACCAAAAAACTATTTTCTAGCCATTTGGTATAAAATAAAAAATTTAAAAAACAATGATATTAAAGAAATAATACTAATTTGGGCTGAATTAGATAAGATTACAGCAATGTCTTTATTTGTAGGTGACACATAGTTGATGTCTACAGCTTTCTTATATTCCAGGGAGAAATGAAATGCACATATAGGCAAACACTGAGAAAATTATATGACAGAATGGTGAGAATACATCAGTATTAACTGCTAATATTCTAAGATTTCCCAAACACTTAAGTTTTCATACCAATAAGCTTTTCCCTTAGTAAGCTGGAAAAGAATTCCTGATCTGTTTACCTCTTGTAATTACATTAAAAAACAACAAAACTATAGTGATGTTACATTTCAATATTAAAAAACTAAAAACAAGCTCAAAAACAGTATAAAGTTTACATTAGTATTACCATGTTTTAAGTGATATCCAACTGGTTTAAGCTGCTTATTAATTATGACATATCTTAGTGTATACTTCAAAAATTTTCCATAAATTAATAAGAAATTGAGTATAATTATAGTTTTAAATATTCTCTCTATGCTATTACATCACTGTACCCCTAAGTGGGAAAAGTTTAAGGAAACTTTTCCAGAAGTTTCCAGAAGTGATGCTCAGTGGTCTAAAATCTAGCCTTAAACCTGCAGTGCCTTTGGATCATTTAACACAGCTACCAAATACCTGTATGTTAAAGGTTTCCCTAAGCTACTGGTGCTATGGCAAAACTGTTAAAACTCAGAGAGGAACCTCGTGGGAAGAGGTGGGTCACTGGAGACATGCCTTAGGGGATAGATGTGTCTTGGATGCTATACCATGCTCTCCACTCTGCCCTCTACTCCTTGATTTCTGGTTACTGTGAGGAGACAAGCTTGTGCTACCATGCACTGTATGCCTAGACTCACCTTTCAAACCTCAGGGATGCATTAGGACTGTGGATTAAAACTACAAGCCTGAAACCTTCCTTTGAAGACAACAAAGAAATTAATCTTTAACAAAGTAATTTCATTCCTAGAAATCTGTTTCTTTTTTTCTTTAGAAAAGGGTCTCCTGTTTTTCAGGCCAACCTCAAATTTCTGATCCTCCTGCTTCTATCTCCCAAGTGTTGGGATTACAGGCTCAGTTTATACCATGGTGGAAATCAAATCTTATGCTTGTGCATACTGGATAAACTATATAGACCCAACTGCCCATTAGAAACATATTCCAAGTAAATAATTCGGCTAAAGGACAAAGCAGGGTTAGTTAGAGTGGTCATCAAACTGCTATTTTTAATAGAAAAAAAAAGTTTACATAAAGGTATAATGTTACAAATAATTAGCATGTAGTCTTCATAACTGTAAAGATCATAAGGACAATTTCCACAGTTCCCACTTCTCAGAAATCCTCAAGAATTCTCACATTAAAAAAGGAAATTCTAAGGAGTAGGAGTGTAGCTCAGTGCTTACCTACTATGTACAAGGGAAGTGAGTTTGCTCTCCAGTACAAGAACAAAACAAAAGGAGAACAAAAACATCAGTGCTCAGTATGATCCTGAGTTGGTGCCGGACCCAGATAGGGGTAGTGACATTTGAAAGATCATTACTAGAGCAAATGCTGAACAAATGCTGAACTTTTGTATGAAGTAGTGAAGTTAACAGTTTTATATCCATGTAAAAGCATTAGTTTTAAAGCTACAGAAAAAAAACAACTTTATGTGAGGTTGGAGAGATGGCTCAGTGTTTTAGATTTAGAGGGCCTGGGTTCAATTCTTAGCACCCACATGGCAGCTCACAAACCGTGTAATTCTAGTCCTGGGTGATCTAATGCTCTTGTCTTGAATCCACTGGCACCTGGCAAACACACAGTAGGCAGGAATACATGCAGGCAAAATATCCATATGCGTAAAGTTTTTTTAAAAATTTAACTAAAAACACCCTTTTTGGTGAATGTACAGCTAAGCATTTAAAGAAGTATCATGTCTTACTAGAAAGTAGGCACAGAACTTTATGTGTGGAATAAGCACGTATTTTTAAAAACAAAAATTAGGAACTGAACCTACTCAATTCTAATATGGGCAAATAAAATTTGTAATCTATTACTCTATGATTTACACCAATTATGACAAAAGGAAAATATCTTACCTTTGGGAAGTTTGCCTCCAAGCACAGTAAATTTTTGTGGATTTTTCAAGAATTCAACCACTTCCTGTAATTCTTGTTTGGCTTCCTCCACCTTAAATGGTGCAATTTACCAAATATCCAAATAAAAGTTAGATTATCAAGGTTTCCTCTTTGGTAATCATATTTTTAATGTAGCTACGAGTGAATTTGGCCTTTTTTGGTAACACATTTTTTTTAATATGGTAAAGGTTTTCTAATCCTTATTTCCAATTACATGGCATCCTTATTATGCCAACAAAAGTCATTTGAAGTTCCTACTTTTACTAAGAAGGCAAAACAAGTCAAATATATTGGTCAGAGTTAAGCTGAAACTATTAGAAAAAACAGCATAAGGCGAAAGAGCAATCAGAAAACCTAAACTGTTTAGGTCATGATTATATTTCTAGAAAATTTCACAAAACTATTTACAGAAAACATCATTACTAGAACAAGAAAAGGTCTGTTTAAGCCGGGCGGTGGTGGCACACGCCTTTAATCCCAGCACTCAGGAGGCAGAGGCAGGCGGATCTCTGTGAGTTCGAGACCAGCCTGGTCTAGAAGAGCTAGTTCCAGGACAGGAACCAAAAAAGCTACGGAGAAACCCTGTCTCGAAAATCCAAAAAAAAAAAAAAAAAAAAAAAAAGGTTGGTTTGTTTGTTTTAGTTCTCCAATGGACTTTGAAAGTTATTCTGACTAAATCACTTAAATTTTTACTAAAATTTTGTAATGATAATAATTAAAAATAAAGTTGTACTCATGACCAGCCCCAGGAAAAAGGACACATGTTCACCAAAATGCACAAGGTACATACAATATTAGAGTTCCAAACTATAAAAAAACCAAAAATGTCTAAGTTAGTTAAAAAGAGCAAATTTCGATAGCCACATAAGCCAAACTGTGCAATCAGGATACGTGAATGACTGCTCTACACAGCATGGCCAGACCCCAACCAAAATCATCATGTTGGGCAAAAGAAGAAAGATGCAAAACAGGATATTCGATGCATCCTGCTGCTCCTAAAACAAGCAAAAAAATGGAAGCAGAGCCCTGACTGGATAACAGTGGTAGGGACAATAACCAGAAGAGGCTGGGGGGCTCTGGGGTTCTCACGGTCTTTGTTGGGCTAAGAACTGATGAAAACTATGTGCTCATTCTTGAAATTTATTAATTGTGTATTTTTAAGCAAGTATATTGAACTTCAAAAGATTTGCTGAGTTATTTAAAAAGAACATCTTACTGCACATTGAAAGACTAAAACATATCTAACTTAAAATAATGGGTGAAACGGCAATTTAAAGTTCTAAGAATGAAGCAAGAGACAGGAAACACTGTTCACTTCTCAACTAACTAATATCCTGTCCCTATCTCTGTGGCAAGGGTACCTCCAGTTGAGCAACAGAAAAGCTACAGGGTGAGGTAGATAATGACGTTCTAAACAGTTCTTAGTTTTTAAAGCAGCTCCATATAAATGTACTTACATACTCAAAAATCCTGGGCAAGAAATGATTCTTATGTACATTTCTTTTTTTTTTGTAATATTTATTTATATGTAAACAATATTCTGCCTGCAGGCCAGAAGAGGGCACCAGACCTCATTACAGATGGTTGTGAGCCACCATGTGGTTGCTGGGAATTGAGCTCAGGACCTATGGAAGAGCAGGCAATGCTCTTAACCGCTGAGCCATCTCTCTAGCCCTTATGTACATTTCTGAAGACTTGAGAAAACTGTGTAATAGCAAACCTACAAGTTACTTTGCTCCTATGAATTTACATTTGTCAGAAGCTACTTCATTAACGAATGTTTTTAGTTTTTTGCCTGTCTCTAGTTTTACACTCAGACATTCCTTCATCCCCACTGCAGATAGAAACTTAAAATAACTCAACCAAAAACAGCTCAACAAGAATTCTATGTTTTCTAAATACTGACTTTCATTTTGATGGTGTATGTGTGTCTGTGTGGGGCATGTGCATGGAGGTCAGAAGAGGAGTCAGATCCACTGGGGCAAGAGTTATGAGTTACTCAATGTGGGTGCTGGGCATAGGGGGTGCTGTCAAGAAAAGAAAGGGCTCTTAACCACTAAACCATCTTTCTAGCAGCAGGAATTCAAATCAAAGCAAGCATGTAACCGTAAAACTCAAGTCAGAATAGAGAGGGCCTGCCACACTGAGGACTCAAGTTTTAAATAATCATCATACCAATATCTTCCTCAACCCTTTCTGCAATGCAAACAGGGCTCATAGCCTTAAATTGCAAAAAAAGTTTGGGACAACTGGTTTAACCAGATGGAAGTCCAATGCAGAATATCAATAAGGTAAATTACAAAGAAAGCAAAGAAATCTTAACTTACCCCTTTAACATGTTCAAAAGTAACATTTTTCATCTGGACAGGATCTACAGCAGAATCAAGTCCTGTAGTTGTCCGGAAGCGAACTAACAGGAAGAAATACATGTGGGTATTTGATATCAAAATCTAGAAAAATTGCATGTCTTAGAAGCCTAAGTTTCTCTGATTAACCTGAAAGAAAAACAAGTCTCATTTCCAATGGTTCCTTAGGGTAGTCAGCAATTGTTTTCCTCCTGTGTTAGAGCTACTTTTAAATGGGTTTTTCTCAATCCCTATCTAAATGTTACAAATATAAATTTGAAACAGCTCTTCATTCTTCACGATTGATGCTCACTGTCCTTGGCTGCACTTGGTCATACTTAGGAACTAAAGCCAATGAAGATAAAGGGGCATTAGAGGACAGTCAATAATTGGCCCAAGATATAAGTCAGCAAGAACCCAGGAGAGAAGAGAACACCCTAAGAGAGTCCTACGAGTCCTACAACTCGTCATTCACTGCCCTCTCCATCAGATCTAGGAAAGTCCCTAGGACTCCAACCAGCATACAATCTGCAAATACAAAGGTCATTTCAGACAGAATGTCTCTGATGTTTCCATGAGAATACATGTGTTCAGCAGAGCCTGACCCATCCCAGAAGATGGCACAGATGGGTGGAGGAAAAACTAAAGAAGCCAAGGGGCTCCACTAAGTCCCTAGAAGTAACCCTAAGAAGCCTTCACAATAAAAAGAAAATAGACTGAATTTTGGCCACCTGTAATTGTTTTAAATATCCAGCAGTAAAGCACAGACAAAAACTAGATTAACAATAATATAAAACAAGAACTACATTAGAATTTTTAAAAGGACAAAGACCGACTCAGTTCTTATAAGGTTTCCCGCCACACCCCAATGTGGGCTACCAACACACCAGGGAGGGCATTCACGGCCGTCAGACTATAATTATCTCATGCTTTTCCTAAGTGTGAACCCTGATGTTCTAGTTAGATTTGTCAACTTGACACTACCTAGAGTCACCTGGGAAGAGGAACCTTCAATTACAATTGCCTTGATCTATGGGCACTGTTTGATTGCCAGCTGATGTAGAAGGGCTCACTCTGCCCACTGCAGGTAGCACCATCCCTAGACAGGTAGTCCTGATCTGTGTGAAAAAGCTCACACACTGCCTTAACTTTCCCTCAATAATATGACATAGACGTGAAAGTCAGATAAACCTCTTTCTCCCCAAGTTGTTTATGGTCAAATTGTTTTATCACAGCAATAAAAACTTAGAATTATTCCAACTACAATAACTAATGGGGACTTCAATGCTGTGAGGATTATCACTGTTGATTTGACAGGATCTAGGTGAGATACTTCTGGCATGCCTACGAGGGAGTTTCTAAATTGGGTCAAGATAAGAAAAACAGCCTAAATCAAAGTGAAGGTCCTGCAATGAGCAAAAAGGAGAAAGTAAAGGAAACACCAGAATTTCACCTTCCTCCATACCTGACTGAAGCTGCAATGCGACCAGCTACCTGAAGTCCCTACAGCCATGATAAACTGTGCCCTGGAACCATAAGCCAACTAATTAAAGCTTTCTTAAGCTGCTTTGGTTAGGATATTGTGTTTCAGCAGTGAGAATAGTAACAAACATACTTGGTGACAAAGACTCTTGAGTCTTTAAGCTCAGGGCCCAACTATCCCAAGACATTGTATCTAGGACACATCTTCACCCTAGAGCACAGAGCTCTTTCAGCCAATCTGTAGCCAAGCTATATAGGGATAATTAGGGCCTTCTGCGGACTAACAGCTGTGATGGTTTAAATAAGAAATATTCCAAATAGGCACGGGTATTCGAACACTCGGTCCTCAGTTGGTGATGCTGCTTAGGGAGGTTATGGAAACTTGAGTACATGAAGCCTTAACCCACTTCCAGTTTATTCTCTGCTTTCTGTGAGATGAAATGTGATCAACCAGCTTCCTGTTTATCTCTAGTTACCATGCCAGCCCTCCTATTACCAGAAACCAAAACAAACTTTATTATTGCTTTTTGTTTGATTGACTTTATTTTTGGAGACAGAGTCTTACTGTGTAGATCTGGTTGGCCTGGAAATTATTATATAGAACAGGATGGCTTCCAATTTACAGATATACCTGCTTCTTGCTGGAATTAAAGGTGTACACCATCAAACACACACGCTGGATACTTATAAAATCAGGTTTGGAATTGGATCTCATTAATTTTCATGGTGGAAATGGGTTACACCTGTTATAATCTCACGGGTCACCCTGTGAGTCTCTGAACTGCTGTTATTGATCCTTCTCAGATAACCCTGCAGAAATAACTCCATAATCTAAGTTCTTTTGATTTCTAAGGCCTTAAAATAACTAAGTGTAGAGAACTTAAACACCAGTCTAATACCCTATTTTAAACATTAAGCTAGACCGAGATACCCATCTAAGTGATTTTTAGGGTCTCAATTGTTCAAGGGGTATTGCTAAGTAGCTAGTTTGATAGTTAGATATTATCAGGCTTGAAGGTCATTAAAATTCAGCAGCTTTTAAAACCAAGAACTAAAACTGAAGGATTACTACTGGTCGAAACTATGAGAGCTGTAGTAATAGGGGCGGCGGGTGCTGCACCCCGGCCGCCTGCTCGGCTAGCTTATGCCTGAAATAACAACACACAAACTGTATTCATTTAATCACTGCTTGGCCCATTCTCTTCTAGGCTAATTCTCACATATTAATTTAGCCCATTTCTAATCATCTGTGTGTAGCACCCCAAGGTGCGCTTACCAGGGAGATTCTAGCCTATGTCCATCCTGGGTCAGAGCTTCATCCCGGGAGCGGGGCATGGCGTCTCCCTGAGGCGTCTGCTCCCGAGAGGAGAGCTGTCGAGACTCTGAGCTCACTTCCTCTTCCTCCCAGCGTTCTGTTCTGTTTACTCCTCCCACCTATCCTCTAACCAATAAAATGGGCCAAGGCAGTTCCTTTATTAGCCAATGACCTTCCTCCATCAGAGAGCTAAGTCTTATTCTGAATTAAGCAGAAGGTCATCACCAAATACCCAACTTTACAAGATTACTATTTAACTGGAGCTGATAAAGAAGAAGGATATAGAGGGCTGGAGAGATGGCTCAGTGGATAAGAGCACTAGCTGCTCTTATAGAGTACCTGGGTTCAGTTCCTAGCACCCACAGGACATCTCACAACCACATCTAACTCCAGTTCCAGGGGACCCAACGCCCTCTTCTGGCCTCCACAGGAACTAGGCACATGTGTGTACACACACATTCATGAGGTGAAACACACAAATTTTTAAAAAAGAATAAGAATATATTATATTAACTCCTCAGTAAAGGTCAACCCAAATGGGCCTTTCAGTCACCTGAATAGGAAAATATGTCACAGGAAGCACTGTCTTCTTTAGAGGCTTTAGAAATGGAGATTGTCTAAAACGGAGACTGGCACCATGATCTCTCTGCCCATCTTCCACTGTCACTCCGTGAGAGAGTGCTCTCCTGTACCTAGCTTCTATTCTGCTATGTAAAAACAAGCAAGGCAGGTGTGGCGGTAAGGCTGTCATCCTAGCACACAGGAGTTAGTCAGGAGGACCATGAGCTCTTGTCTCAAACCAAATTTTTTCAAAGCTGAGCTAATGCTCTGTTGGCATGGTGTTCATGCAGCAAGCATGAACACCAGTACCCCATAAACTGGACATGCGATTACATGTCAGGAATCCTAGCACTCAGCCTTGTCAAAAAAAAAAAAAATAAGGTTTAAGAAAATCTTTAAATCAATGATGATCACATTTTTGTAAATAAAAATCTTATGAGGAATATATTAAATGGAGGTTCCTAGCCATAATACAGGCTTAGAGTTTATTGATTTAGGAATAAAAAACTTGAAAGTAGAGGGCAACTGTTTAGGAAATGGAAGGTAACCAGTAAAGGGAGCATACACACACACACACACACACACACACACGAGAGAGAGAGAGAGAGAGAGAGAGAGAGAGAGAGAGAGAGATGCTTACTCTATATGAGTCAGGTCCAGGAGTCAGCATTTTCAAAAACCGTGATACTCTTAATTTTTAAAATTATTCATTTAATAACTTACCATTTTGATACACCTGGTCACAGAAATAAAACTTTGAAATCATTACTTTAAACCCAGCATAAACAAAATTGCACACTAATTATTTTAAACCAAACTAAATGGTTTATCTTACTTTTCAAATATTCTTCCCCAGTTAACAACAACCTTAAGTTCTACAAAAGGAAAATTTGATAGGATAGTAAAATATGTGATACAATAGTAAAGGGTACAAAAACCAGATGTTTGAAAAGGAAATAAACTCAGATAAGTAAGTCTTTACCAGAAAGAAATGGGTTTTTCAAGAGTCCATAAATGCCAAGCAGGAGCAAAACAAAGACGATCAGACGAGTTCGCCTTAAGGAATCTGCAAGAGGAAAAAGCCTTGAATTAAATGGAATTAATGAACTATAACACCTTTATGGTACCTTTAATACTATATTATTATTGTGTTTTGCATTTGGTTAGTAAGTTAGACTTTAAGCTGAAAATAAATGCTCTCCAATGGGAATATCTGCTTAGCATGCATGAAGCCCTAGGTTAAACCCTCAGAATAACAACCAATTGTTTTCCATGTTTAAGTTTGCAGAAAAGTTGAAAGTACATTTCTACCACTCACCTTGCCCTGTGCCCCCAGGTCCTGACTAACATGCATTTAAGTAGCAAGCTTGTTAACAATAAGCCAGTATTATTGGATTATTGGTATAGTTTTCTCAGGTTTACTGAGTGTGAGCCATTAAAAAAATCCATCTAGCATAGAGTAAGATCTCTCTCTGTCTCTGTCTCTCTCTCTCTGTGTGTGTGTGTGTGTGTGTGTGTGTGTGTGTGCGCTCCTTTACTGGTTACCTTCCTTCTCCTAAACAGTTGCCTTCTACTTTCAAGTTATTTATATACATGTGTCTCATATAGTTCAACTTCAATTCTGCATGTGAAATACATGCACTTTTTATGCCTTCCCCTCATTTATCATACACATAAATACCTATATATACATATCACACACGCATACATGAATCCTCACACAGAAATTCAGATTCTGCATAAAAATAAACATGCAATATTTTTGAGCCTGGCTTATTAAATTTAAGATGACAATATCCACTTCTATGCATTTTCCTGCAAGTGACATTTTCTTCTCTTTAGGTTAAGTAGAATCCCAGTATATAAATACCACGTATTTTCAGACATCATCTGTTGACAGGCCTTTAGACTGGATCCAATATCTCAGCTATTGTGACTGGAGCATAAGTAAACATGGACACAAAACATCTCAATGCCATGTTTAGATATCTTTGTATAAAACAGCAAAAACAGTAAGTACAGCTGGACCATAGTCAGTTCAATTTTTAGTCTACTAAGGAATCTTCATGTTGATTTTCCTAAGGGCTCCACCAGTTTTCCTTGCCATGAGCACTGTACAAAGGTTCCTGTCACTCTCTGATCAGTACCTGTAGTTGTTCCTTTTCTTAATGACAGCCATTTCTGACTGAAGATAATCTCAATGGAGTTTAAATTTGCATTTCCTCGGTGGCTGAAGAAGTTGAAACTTTTTTCATATACTTTAAGAACTGTCTGATCAGTACATTTAGCCATTTACTGATCAGATGGTTAAGTTTTATGGTGAATAAGAATTGAACAGATTCTAGACACTGGTGAAGTTTACTCTCCTGATCCTTCTGCTGTGGCAGTTTTGTAATTTCAGACACTCCCACCTGTCACCTTGTGGACGTCCTCACCTGCTGGAGTTCATCTCAGAAAATCCTTTCCTGGACCTTAAAGTGTCGTACTTGTGTGTTCTTCTGGAAGTCTGAGTTTTAGATCTTACATTTTTAATTAATTTTTGTATAAGATAAAATATAAAAATCTCATTTCATTATTCTATGTTAATATTCATTTCTCTCAGCACCACTAGTTAAAAAGGTTAATTTTTCCTAATGCATGTTTTTTACCTTTGTCAAAAATTAGATGGTAGCCATAACTTTTCCTAATAATCCTGTATCTACTAAGGCACAATTTCTATCCTTTGTTTTTATTTCTATTTCCACGTTTAAGCAATCATAAGTTTTACAGTAGACCATGACCAATGTTCAGACTGATGATCTTAGAAAAGTTTCTGTGATGCAGTGAGACGGCTTAGCAGGTAAACGAGCCTGTCAGCAAACCTTACCTGAGCTTGACAGTGGAAGGAATGAAAGCAGAAGGAAAGAAGCAGTTTCCATAGGTCATGGGATCTCCACATATATGTTGTGGTACAAGCAGCTTACCTTCACACACGGATCACATCACACAATAATTTTTTTAAAAATTAAGAAATGTTTTGTAACACTTTAAACAGAGGACTAAGCATCCTCTCAAGTGTTCTGCCTATGTCATATCATACCATTGGTCTTCTGTGTGAGAGCTTGAGCTTTGAGAAAACCCTCTGCAAAACCAGTTTTAAATGCATCTTGGTGAGCTTCAGGTATGTTTTTAGTTTTCATAAGTTTGTCCAAACTCTCAAGATCTGTTCCTCTGTCCCGCAACAGAAATCCCTAAAAATCAAAGAAAATACAGCAGAGTTATAAAGATACAAAAAGGACGGACAGTAGTGGCGCACACCTTTACTCCCAGTACTCTAGAGGCAGAGGTAGGCAGATCTCTGTGAGGTCGAGGCCAGCCTGGTCTACAAAAGGAGTTTAAAGACAGCCAGAGCTATATAGAAAAACCCTGCTCAAAAAACCTAAAATAGATAAATAAAGATGTAAACATAAAGAAGGCAGCGTTCTGAAGATTTTCTGTCTATTGGACAAAGTCAAACAGGTATACTTTATAAATAATTTTGATATTCTGCTAGAAGCAGTAGATATGACAATAAAATAAATGCTATCTGTAAAAAACAGAAATACCTTACTGAAAATGGTACACTGGGGCCAGAGAGATGAAGCCATTAAAGGTGAGGCTTGCAACCAAAATGTCAGAAGAATGGAACATCAAAACCACACATAGAGAGAGGATTGTAGATATATTTTAGCTGGCAATATTTGCTTAGCATACATGAGACCTTCAGTTTAGAACTATATAAACTAGGCTTGTCAGCAAACATATGCAATGCTAGCACATGAGAGGCTGAGGCAGGGGAATCCTAAGTTTAAGGCAATCCTTAGATACACAAAGAGTTAGAAGCTAGTGTGGGCTATATGAGACCACCCATGTCTCCAATCTCCTCACCCTCCTTCCTGAAAGTCATACAGGTGGGCACCATGTAATGGGTCTTATTGCAGCAGTTGAAAAGGAAGATTATGAGTTCAAGGCCAGCCTGAGCTGATGCAAACTCTCTCTCTCTCTCCCTTTCTCTCTCCCTTTCTCTCTCCCTCCCTCTCTTCCCCCCCCCACTCTCTCTCTCACACACACACACACACACACACACGAAAGCAAAACAAAACCAAATACACACACAGGGAATAAACATAATGAATGAACAATTTGAAAGAATATAAAATAATGTCTAAAAAAATTTGGTAAGAGTCAATGCCAAGAAAATAAGGGTATTTAGTGACCAGCATATTCAAGGTTGAGAACAGAAAAATGGTCAATAAGTGCAATAAAACAAATTGTTAAATAAGACTGAGTTGGGTAAGAAAGCAGAATATCCAAATTAATTAGGTTATCATTTAAGAAACGATGATACAAGTTTGGAGGCAAGATTGAAAGTAGCAAGAATATATGCTGTGGAATATTAGCTGAAAATGTGTTACATTTGTTTAAGCTGCGGAATATTTATTTAATAGTGAAAAATATGTGTTGCATTCTTTTATATTGCATTTATTTAACTCTGTGAAGCTGTGTTACTTTGCCTGCCTAAAACACCTGATTGGTCTAATAAAGAGCTGAATGACCAATAATAGCTGGGCAGGAGACAGGCAGCGCTGCTCTTTAATTTAAGAGATTAAATAGGAGAAATAGAGAAGAGTAGTGAGAAAAGGAAGAGAGGAAAATGTCAAGGGACAGCTACCCAGCCAGACACGGCATAAGATGGAAAGAAAAGATATACAGAAATAGAGAAAGGTAAAAGACCAGGGGCAAAAGGTAGGTGGTATAATTTAAGAAGAACTGGCTAGCAACAAGCCAAGCTAAGTTGGGCATTCACAAGTAAGACTATGTGCAATTATTTGGGAGCTGAGTGGTGGGCCCCCAAAGATCAAAGAGTAAAAAAAAAAAAAAATAACCAAACACAACTACAGATAGAAGCAAGGTATCAAATGAGTACTTGCTAGAATAATTGAGGCAATAAAATGTTAAAATGTCTATGAACAGCAATGCAACAAGGATGAAGGGAAAGATTTAAGAAACGTTAGCTGGGCAAAGTGGTTCACACTTGAAATAAGGTATGGGAATCTGAAGCAGAAGAATTGCCTTAAGTTTGAGGCCAGACTAGGCTACACATTGAGATCCAGAACCACCTGTGCGGCAGACTGAGATCCTGTCTCTAAAAAGCAAGATATCCCCCCTATCCCCCAGCCCCCCGCAAACAAACAAACAAAACAATAACAAAAGAGAAACATTTCAGGTTAGTAGTATAGATCAGTGGTAGATCACCTGGCTAGAAACCATGAAACCTAGGTTCAATCCCTAGGACCACCACTTCCCCAATGATACTTATTAGGATACACTGGGAAAAGGACAGCTCTTTCAGACAGTACTGGGAAACTGGACTACAACATATAAAAAAAACCCAGAAACCTTATCTCTAATCCTGTACATGATTCAACCCTAAGTGAATCGACCTTTAAGCCTTGATACCCTGAAACTGGAAGAGAAGAACGGAGGCCTGTGCCTCTGCTCTGCGCACAGGCGGACATGACCACAGTTCTGAGTGAGGCTCCAGTAGCACAGAAGAACAACAGTCAACAAATAGGATCTTGTGAAACTGCAAAGTTTCTGTGCATCAAAAGAAACTTCAAGCAAACGAAGGTACAGCCCACAGAATGAGAGAAAAATCTCCCAGCAATTTATCTGACAGAGTTACTGTCTAGAACAGGTCAAAGAACTCAAAATACCAAGCATTAAGAAAATAAACAGTCCAATCAAAAACTGGGCAATGGAACGACCTGGACAGAAAATTCTCAAAGGAAATATAAGCAGTTCCTAAATGCTTTAAAACATGCTTAGTAGTCATCAAGGAAACTGAAAGGATTTTAAGATTTGAGGACTACAAATGACAACAAATGCTGTGTGGACATGGGCAAGAAGGATCTCTCCCACACTGTCGCTGGAAGCGGGAACTAGAATGGCCACTCTGGGGATCAATCTAGAGAATCCTCAAAAACTAAAACTACAACTGCCACATGGCTGAGCTATAGCCACGGGCATATACCCAACTGACTTTATATTCTGCTACAGAAATAGTTACATTACTACTCTACTACAACAGTAAGGAAATGGAATCAACCACATGTTAATGGATGGATAAGAAAAACGTAGACTGGGCATGGTGGTGTATGCATTTAATCCCCACACTTGAGAAGCAGAGACTGGTGAATCTCTTCTGAGTTTGACACTAGCCTAGTCTACGTAGTGAGGTCCAGGATAGCCAGGGATATGTAGGGAAACTATATCTCAAAAAAGAAAAATATGATGCATATACACAGTGAACTCAGGTATACAGGCAAATGAAATTTGTAGTTAAATGTATGGAAGTGGAAAAATTTTACTAAGGTAACAGACCCAGAAAGACAAAAGTCATGTTCTCTCCATTATGCAGATTTGAGCTATAAATCTTGTTTTGTGTATTTAACTTGAAGTCCAAGTAGAAACCAAGAAACCAAAGAGGGGCCTTTTGGGAGGAAGGGAGTTGGGAGGAAACTATCATACCTTAAGGAAGAGTTAAGTATATCATTTAAGTATATTGTAGGTAAAAGGAGAAAGGTGGAATAGTGGCAGCACAAAGGCTCTAACAGGGCAGGGTAAGGAGTATGGGGAAAAGCTGGAAATGGAAGGAGGGCTAACACGAAGTATATGGAAAGCTATAAACTCACAGGCCAATTAAAAATATTTGGAGGTATAATAAAACACATGTGAAATGAATGAAGAGGGGAGGATAGTAGAGGCTAAAGACTTAACCAGATATGGATGGGGGAGAGGAGGGAGTTGTTGGGTTAACCAAAACCAAGGATGTATGCAAAAGTCTTATGAAAAACCAGTAGCTAGTATACTAATTTCAAACTAACTTAAAAAATAGCCCAATGGAACTATCCTGCATGAATGGACAATGCAATTCTCAGAACGTATAAGCAATCAAGTGACAGTACAAGGTACATGTAGTCAGAGAGGTCTTAGAGATTTCTAAAACACAGGATAGTGCCATTAATTACTCTTAGTTACCCACCATAACTACTAGGTAAACCTCAATGGCTGAAGATACTGCACACCTTGGACACAGGACATAGAAAAATCAATCTCAAAATGACTGATCAAGTTCACCCCTAATTGCTAGTTTTCAGTGTTGAAAGGTGCAATGTAGGTGGTTAGAGAGAAAGTACATCAGTGGTTTTAACCAGATCTAAACCCTGCATGCTCCAATATCTACTAGCCACGCAAGAAATGCCTACTTGTGCAACAGAGGCGTGGCTGCTAATGGGGTGCCCAACCTCTCTCTGGGTTTGAGACCTGTTCCACAGAAGGGAGTTCCATGCCTGGTACCTTAATCCTGCTCAAAAAGCCCATGGTAAGAATGGTTATAAGTCCTAGGGTAAACATCTGCTTTTTATTTTGGTAATTCTATTCAGGGTTTCTCTGTTTAACAGTCCCAGCTGTCCTGGAACAAGCTTTGTAGACCAGGTTGGCTTCAAACTCAGAGATCCACCTGCCTCTGCTTCCCAAGTGCTAGGATTAAAGGTGTGTGTCACCAAACACCATCTTCTAAATATTAATTTATGTTTATACACATAGACCTGGCCTGCTTTCAACCTTGGTCAGCTTCTTTTTGCACAGCACAGTAGTCAATGCAGCAATACAAAACTGTAATAATACTAAGAAGAGACTGACCATTCATCCCTAGACAGGAATTCTATATCATGCACACTACTCCTCTAGAGAGGCGCAGGGAACATGGAGGAAAAGGCAGAAAGAATTTAAGAACCAACACGTAAGGAGGAATGCTGTGAAATGTTGTCTTTGGGTATAACATGGTTATAACTTTCATGAACTCACAACAACTGAAATTACCTGCACAAGAACAAGCCAACCAAAATTCTGACATAGGTCGGGTAGACAATCTCCGGGGCCCACCCATTATTGAGTAGCTATTACTCTTTTCTGAGGATGTGGCCACTGGTAGGCTTCTCAAGCTCCAGTGGATACTCCTACACCCATACATATATAAGCAACACTAACTGGACTTAGTAGGTTACAAAAAACAAACAAACAAACAAAAAAACCCAGTAACTTTAAAGACATGAGTTTGGGAGGCAGACATGTTGAGGGAGATATAAAGGTAGCTGAAGCAGAGAATGGGGGTGGATATCATACTTCATTGTATACATGTACGACATTGTCAAGAATAAAGACAAAAACAAAAACATTTTTAAAGATTTTAGAGGCACAACAAATACACAAGTAGTTAATTATTGTAGGTAGACAGAACTGAGTGGACGCTCCACCAACCAGAAAAATGAGATACTTAAAGTTTTTGATGTCCTAGTATTTGTTACTTATTATTTTCTAAACCACAAATAACTAATTACCTTCACAAAGGATGGTGCTATATTCTGTGCTTCTGCTAATCTTTCAGAAGTAGACTGCAAACGCCGTGTCCTTGATTTTAAAGTTTTAAAGCCCCGAGACTGTGTGAAAACTGAACAAAACAGTACCAATTACTTGGTAGCTATAGCAAGAGAAAATGATCAAGTGTAAAGTCTGACTCATAACGGCACATCACAATTAGAATCCAAGTTCTAGATAGAGTTATTTCAGCTGGCATTTCAATTTGCTTCACCTTTTTCTATTACCCTTTTTTCCAAGAACTTTGAACATTTAACTTCATGTTGAGGGAGGAAAAAGTAAGAGGATTTCACAATATAATAAGAAGGAACCTCAAATGAGAAATAGGACTGGCCTAGAGGCAAGTCTTCAAGTATTGGCTTAAAGAAAACGTGAGAGGGTTCAGTCCACAAAGGATGTTGTCACTACCAGGCAAGTGATGCTGGGTAACATAAGAAAGACAACAGAGAAACCCTGGGACAACTCTATGGCGTCTGCATCAGTTCCTGCCTCCAGATTTGTGCTTCTGCTTTTGCTCTGACTTGCCTCAAAGATGGACTGTGTGATTAGGCCCTGTAAGCCAAATAAACAATTTCCTCCCTTAGGTTGCTTTTGGCCAGTGTTTCATCATAGCAACAAAAGCCAAACTAAGACAAGTACCAAAGCCCATCCTTACTGACTCTCAGTTTGGTATTTATTATTTTTAAGTTCTACTAGAAATAGTTATGACATTTCCTAATGCTGCAACCCTTTAATACATTTCTTCATGTTGTGGAGACCCCACCATAAAATTATTTCACAGCTACTTGGTAACTGTAATTCTGCTACTGTTAAGAATCACAATGTAAATATCTGATGTGCAGGATATGTGGACCCCCACAGATTGAGAACCAATGACTATCCTAAATTGTATGAAAGTAGCAAACAATGCTATCAATTTGATATCACCTAGCTTATGGCTTTATTTAAAGTCCTCAGATTTCTGGGATGTTAATGAAAACACTCTGGTATTCTCCAATTTTTTTCCTTTAACTTTTTCCTGACATTTCAGTGGGTTTTTGGAGGTGACGGTAAGTAGACAAACATGCTTAGTTAATTACTTTGAAACAAGTGTAGATGAGTTTCCCAAGTCTGATTCACCGTAGTCCTTAGCACTAACACAGCTTCTATTATTATTTTGTGGCTCAGCATTTATAAAGAGGACTGGAGAGATGGGTAAGCAGTTGCCAGCACTGGATGCTCTTCCAGAGGACCTGGGTTCAATTCCCAGAAACCATATGGTGGCTCCAGTTTCAGGAGACCTGATGCCCTCCTCTGGCCTCAGGGGAAACCAGGCAAGTATGGTATGGTACACAGACATAACATGCAGGTGGAACAACTATACAAATAAGAAATACTTTTAGGGGGCTGGAGAGATGGCTCAGTGGTTAAGAGCATTGACTGCTCTTCTAGAGGACCCGGGTTCAATTCCTAGCACCCACATAGCAGCTCACAACTGTCTAAAGATCCAGTTGCAGGGGATCTGATACCTTCACACCAATGCACATAAAATAAAGTTAAATAAACCATAAAAAAGAAATACTTTTATTTTCAAAAGTTCATAAAGTCAAGTATGGTGGAATATATCTGTAACCTCAAACACAGAAGAGGCTGAAGAAGACTACAAGTTACAAGCCTGTCTAGGTTAACACAATGAAACCTGTCCCAAAAATTACAGAACCAACCAAATTAATAATCACAAATACTTTTAAGTCTACTATACTATAAATAGATAATTACCACCATTAACAAAAACAAGTCTTATTAAATATACTTATCAAATTTTTCAAAATAAACACAGTTTTTTCGTACTTGGAAAATATTGAAGATCTGAACAAATGCTTCGAAGAGTTTTTGGATATTGTCTGTGCAGGCTAGAGGAGCGCAGTGTATTGAACATATCTAAGTGACCTGCAAGGAAAATGAAAAAGTTATTTTCCAGTTGTCAAGCCAAGGCAAAAACACATGAAAAACTGTATAAAATATAAATTTATAAATACCAGGAAAAGTGACAATGTATCACAGAGTGTTTTAAGAAAGACATTTGATGCACTAATGTAACTCCTTTATATCTCACAATCCCTCGTTTCACTATCACTTACCTTAGGTTACTATTTTTCTCTGGCGTGTGTTTATAGCTGTCCATGAAACTAAATTCAAATTTAGAGGTTAAAAAAAGGAAAAACAATCTCTTTTATTAAAAGGATAGAGCGGTTAACGACTGCTATTGCTTAAAGGCCATCTCAAAGCCCTGTATCATAGAACACTGCAAACACAGCTTCTGCTCTGCTTGAAGGATCTAGAGTAAAGCCAGGTGTGTTTGCAATCATCTTTAATCCAGAGCTTGGAGGCAGAGGCAGGTGGAACTCTTGAGTTCAAGACCAGCCTGGTCTACACAGTGACTTCCAGGACAGCCAGGGCTACATAGGGAGACCCTGTCTCAAAAAAACCAAAATTATAAAGAATTGCCAAATATGAAAAGGTTTTCTCTGACAGCCAGGCTTGCAACTGAAGGCCTCACAGAACCACTGAACTATACTCCCAGCCTCAGCTCTTCCGTGGTTAGTATTTGTTTTTATGTTCCAGTAACACTTAAGGCATTTTTCAAAAAATTTCTCAAGAGTCCAACTAAGAAACTCATTTCTAATATTTCTGTCTGCCCAAGTGGAGCCAAGCAGCTCACAGTATGAAGAATCTTAAATTGTAAAAATGCAGATTAGAAAAACAGGAGAATAAAAGTATTAAAACATTAAAGTAAAAATGTGGCCTGAAGATTTACTATGAGCCCAGCACTTTAGGAAGTCAAAGACAAACGACTCAATCAAGACTGTAGTCTAAGCCCTCAAACCTTAAAACTGTTTTTTTTCCTCACTCTTACATTTTTTAGTCTTTTTTATTCTTGAAATCCTACAATTTATACTGACTTTTAAAACGTGTTTTTCCATCAATATGAAACAGGTATTTTGAATTTTTGTTTTATTATGTATACAGTGTTCTGTCTGGATATATGCTTACATGGCAGAAGAGGGCACCAGATCTCATTACAGATGGTTGTGAGCCACCATGTGGGTGCTGAGAATTGAACTTAGGACCTCTGGAAGAATAGCCTCTTAACCTCTGAGCCATCTCTCCAGCCCTGGAATTCTGATACTTTAAGAAGGTTGTAGGCTAGGCAGTGATGGCACGCACAGTTTTAACTTAACTACAGCACCTAGGAGACAGAAGCAGGTAGATCTCTGAGTTCAAGACCAGCCTGGTCTGCATAGTGAATTCCAGAACAGTGAGAGCTATACAGAGAAACCCTGTTTTGGCATGTGTGTGTGTGTGTGGGGGGGGGAGCAGAATCACATGTGGCACAGCCCTATAATCCCAGCTCTTCAGGAGGTTTAGACAGGAAGACACCAAATATAAGACCTGCTAGAATAACTTGCCAAAACCCTGGCTCAAAATGAAAATTAATTAAAGTGTTAAAGATATAACTCAGTACATCAAGGAGAGTGCTTGCCTAGCCTCAGTGAGGTCAAGGGTTCAATCCCACGGAGCACCACAGAAAAGATATTCATAGACTGGACATGTAGCTCAGTGGTTAAAAAGCTTACATAATATGAGCAAGCCCTGATATCAATACTATGGGAAGCAAAGAGTACAAATTTTCTGTACTTTACAATTTTTCTATAAATATAACATTATAACCGTAAGAAAATTACAAATTTAAAAAACACTTCAAAAAAGAACTGACCCATAGTAAATGTTAATATAGTATAAACATCATCAGTAAGTTCAAGAATAATAACTAACATACCATATTTATTTTCGAAGAAGGACTGTGCTGAGACATGAGATGTATGCCAATGGGAAGAAACTCTTTTGTCTTTATAAAACCCAGGAAGTAGATTTTCTACCAGTTGATCAATCTGTCCAATTTTTAATTCAGATAATCCAAGGTCCTTTAAATTAAGTACAGGCTATAAAAGACAAAACCACCAAATTAACATTAATGAGACATTTAAAAGATACTTATCAAAAACAATAAGGATTTTTTAAATTAAAAAAAATGAACTGACATCTTAATTATTAAAATAAGTTAATAAAATATTCTGATGGTTCTAGTTTTACTAAGGTTCATTATGGGTTTGACCAAAAAAATAAAAAGCCCTAACAGTCTCCCTAAATTGATGACATTTCTCACTATAACAAAAGCACCAGTTAGTTAAACATTATGATTCCCAATGATGTGAGACTTTACATTGTTTTCCCTCTCTGCATAGAAAGCACTGCGACCTAGTTGCCAACCTAACCATTATCTGCCACTCATAAGAATAGTTTTGGCTGGGTCGAGTACAGTAAAACAGACTATTTTAAGAGAGATCACATTGATACAACTTTCATTGCAATATAATTGTTATTTTTATTATTAGTTGCTATTAATCTCTTACTATGTTTAACTTATAAATTCAACTTTACAGTACTTTCAGTAATAAGGTTTTCTAGGGCTGTATGATTGGAGAGCAAGGTTATCAAAAGAGAAGAAAAGCAATGGTGTATCTACAAAAATGAACAAGAAAACTGGGCAAATAGGGAAAAAGAAGCACAAAGATGAGAGGAACACCTCCATTGCTGGTGGGAATGCAAACTTGTACAACCACTCTGGAAATCACTATGGCGGTTTCTCAGAAAATTGGGAATCAATCTTCCTCAGGACCCAGAAATACCACTCTTACACATATACCCAAAGATGCTCAATCATACTACAAGGACATTTTTCAACTATGTTCACAGAAGCATTATTTGTCATAGCCAGGACATGGAAACAACCTAGATGCCCCTCAACCAAAGAATGGAAAAAGAAAGTGTGGTGCATTTACACAATGGAGTACTACGCACTAAAAAACAATGGCATCTTGAAATTTGCATGCAAATGGATGGAACTAGAAAAAAACTTCCCGAGTGAGGTAACCCAGACCCAGAAAGATGAACATGGTATGTACTCACTCCTAAGTGGATACTAACTGTAAAGGAAAGGATAACGAACCTATACAGTCCACGACCCCAGAGAAATTAAGTAACAAGGTGAAACCTAAGAAAAATATATATAGATCCCCTTAGGAAGGGGAAATAGACAAGATCTCCTGAAAAAACTGGAAGCATGGGGTGGGGAGGTGAGATGGGAGGGTGGAAGGACAGGAGGAGGGGAGAATGGGAGGGGGAGAAGACCTTGAGGGAACAGGATAGTCAAAATGAGGGAAGGCCAGAGATGGAAGGCAAGGAAAGAGATACTTTGATTAAGGGAGCTGTTATGGGGCTAGCAAGAAACCTGGCACTAAAGAAATTACCAGGAGTCCATAAGAATGACCCCAGCTAAGACCCTAAGCAATAGAGGAGAGGGGGCCTGAACTGACATTGCCCTGTGGTCAGACAACACTTGACCAAGTGTGATTAAAATTTTCTCATAGAGCTCAAGTAACTATTACCTCACTACTCGGTGTGTCATGCTCAGGAGCTGGGTCTCGGCGCTGCTTCTGAACAGGTGTGTTCACAGAAACAGATAAGCTTTTCGGTGAATGGAAAGCATTGATGAGATGACTGAGAGGAACTGTAACCTAGAAAACAGATACAATTTCAAATTAAGAGGAATGTTTAAAAAAAAAAACAGAAACAATTTCTTTTCTGGTCAGGATTTAGGATCTGTTAAAAGTCAAAACAGCTGGGCAGTGGTGGTGGTGCACACCTTTAATCCCAGCACTCAGCGAGGCAGAGGCAGGCGGATCTCTGTGAGTTTGAGGCCAGCCTGGTCTACAGAGTGAGTTCCAGGACAGCCAGAGATACACAGAGAAGCCCTGTCTTGATTTAAAAAAAAGTTAAATATATACCAGATATCAAGATTATGGGTAAGCTGAGATACGGCTCAGGGGTAGAGCCATGCACAGCTGAAGAGACAGATGATCTAGGCTTCAGATCCAGCACCAAACACTCAAACACATACACACACAAACAAAAAAATTGAGACAGACATAATAAACACACGTACACATGCAAAAAACAAATCAACAAAACTAGACATTAAAAATTGTCCATCCTTGCCAGGCAGTGTTGGCGCACAACTTTAATCCCAGCACTCAGGATGCAGAGACAGGCGGATCTCTGTGAGTTCGAGGCCAGTCTGGTCCACAAGAGCTAGTTTCAGGACAGCCAGAATTGTTACACAGAGAAATCCTGTCTTGAAAAACAAAACAAAAACATTTGCTGGAGGTAGAAAGAAAATTGGTTTACTCTTTCATGATACTATTCTGGATATGTTAAAAGTCGGGCACAATGGTACATACCTTTTATCTCAGCACTGCGGAGGAAGAGACAAGCAGATCTCTGTAAGTTCAAGGATAGCTTGGTCTATATAGAGTTCAAAGCCAACCAGAACTACACAGTGACCATGTCATAAAAATTAATAAATTTGAAATATATATTTTTCATCCTCCAAAATCTACTATCTAGAAATTTATTCTAAGGAAATGATTTGACAAATGCATGCACCTTAATAAGATAATTTTAACAGCATAATTTTAAAGTAGATGGAAAGCTGAAGAGAACCACCATGAGGGAAGTGGAAAAATAGAAGTCACTTCCACAGAATAGCAAGAATTTTCTAATGTTATATTTCCTCACCGCCACCATCTTGTCCTAACCCCCGCCACCTACTCGCCTGCTCCTGCCCTTACCCAGCTCCAGCACACTCCCAGCCTGAGATAAAATGATCATATTAAAATCAGTCACCCTTTGGCTTAAAAATCTTAACACCTGTAGAACCTGAACATCGACTCCAGTTCGGTTCTTTATTAAATGCCCTTCACTCCCTGGGTTAGAAGGGGCTCAAAGAACACATGAAAACACTTTATTTACATTGCCCATCTATAAGGAGAAACAGAAATGAACATAAAGAAGTACACAGGACAAAGCCAGGCAGAACACCTAGTGGAGGACATCCTCTCTGGAGCTCTGATGTTAACACCCTCCTACAGCTCAATTACTGCCTGAAGATGCGGGAATTACAGGATGCTAAGATTACCTGGTCTGACTAGTTCTACTCTGAGGTTATTTGCAGATTAAAAGTCACCTCATTAGGACAAACACAGATGTAATCCATGGGGGCTTATGATTTACCAATAACTCAAGAAATTCTAAGAATTTCACAGAAGCTTGTCATCAGGAAGACCATAAAATAAAGTATTTCTTTTATTGTATCATATTACCCAATTAAAAGATAAACTCCATAAGGCAAGGATTCTTTTGTATTTTAGTACTCAGTGCTGCACTCCAGCCTAACAGTGCATAAGGGAATGACAAACAGGTCTGATGTTGAGTGAATAAAATAATAGGCTCTGATTATATACCAAGGCCCATAATTTAAATAATTTAATACCTAGGACATAAAAATTAGCTATTATTGTATTTCTTCCCTTTAAAATTCATGCTGAATTCAGTTTCCATTATAACAGCAGTGTTATAGGTGTTTAGCTAGGAGTCTATTTTACTATATTACTACAAGCCAATTGTTCTATGCTACATAGAAAGATCCAGTTTTATGAAACCCAAAACAATCAAGGATTTAAGTCATGGAAGTCCAGTCCTGAGGAACAAATTGATGCTGTTACGGCAAGGGGTTTCCCACCTTGCTCTCTTTGGCCCCTCTACCAGGTATGTCTTCTACTCCATGACAATAAACTATCCATCATGTCTTCTTGAGAGAAACTAATTAATTTTATATTCAACAGTCCCTATCTACTGTTTTTTCAATTACTAGGACTTCCCCAGACACTGTCATCCTGGAAAACAGTCGCTTTACTGTATCGAGGTGACCAAAACAGAAACATCACTTTCCACCATTTCCCTCACTTAGAACCAAGTGAAATTCTATTTTGTTTTTCCTGATAGACTGGAGGTCAATTCCTAATCCTCTTGCCCCTTCCCTCAAGACTGGTGCTACACTAGACATTTGTATTTCTTTTCCGTAATTATTGAACACTACTTGATTGGGATGGCATCCCTTTCCTGGGTTAGTTCAGCAGCATCCTTAATCCGTAACCCTTCCACTTTTGCCCTCTCCTATTTTCCACACAACAAGAAGCCAGAGAAAGCCTACAAACGAAAATCTGGTCATAGAAACCATTGTCTGTTATCATCAAAAAAAAAAAATTAATCAAGGAAAAAGGCATTAATTAACACAATTTGGGTCCTCAAAGAAAGACCCTAAAAATAAGGAATACAAATCAATTCTTAAACTATTTAATAGTAAGAATCTGATGTCTCAAAAATGTACACGAGTTAATTCTGACCAGAAAAAAAAAATAACGATGGCTATTCAAAATACTAGGGTACGTTTGTTTAAGCTACATTCGGCTTGAAGAAAAAAAGGGGGTTCAGAAAGAGGTAGTTGGAAAGAACATTACTTGTCCTCTTTACCTCTCGCGTAGACTTCACAAACCACCATCTCAGAATGTACAACCATAAACAATGCCTGAATTGTCTTTAACAGAAACCCCGCACAAGCCATCCGATAAGCTATGATCCGCCACCGTAAGATCACGCCTCTGCCCTCTTAGGGCTTGGTTGCCAATGCTTTTTAGTTTGCATTTTAGTCTCAGGATTGTCCCCTGATCTACTTTCAGCCGCGAATCACACTGAGCTCGTCGCTTCCCTCACTACTTCGCTTCGGAAAACCCGATTCTACGGCAGCATCCGGAAAACAGTCGCAAAAGGGCCGCAGGAAAACGGCTAAATGCTGGGCTCACCTGGGGCTGCACAGTGCTCGACAGGGAGAACATCTCTGGGCCCTCGGGACCTTGCCGCCAGCCGAAACTGCTTCCTAGCTTCAGTTCAGAGGAAAGGGGCTGAGCCCTTTTATTTTCTCTTTCTGTCCCCTCGCTTTTGTCTCGGTTTCTTCCTTACTCTTCCCAGAAACAAAAAATGGCTTCCCCGCCCTATAGCTGCTACGCCGACACCTGCCCCGGAAGACAAGAGGCTAACGAAACAGTACTTCCGGAGCAAGTGAACGCCCCCACGCTCACCCCACCTCTACCGCCGTCAGCCTCCTGCCTCTTCCCGGTAGTATTTCACTGTGGGAGTTGATTTGGGGTTTGGTTTTTTTTTTTTCCACAATAAATTGGGTGTTGTTTTAGTCGCTCCTATTCTATTTCTGAATTCAGTACGGGGCCAGCCGCGCTCCCCGCTCACCCAGGTTCTCCACATTCTGTGACTTCGCTAGCTTCCACACCTCATCCCTAGCCATTGCTTCACTTAACAATCGGCCTGGCTTCTAGCTCAGGCAGAGGGAGAGAGAACTGCAGATCTTGACTGGGACCTGGAAGGACCCCACTGGATTCGATCCGCATTAAAGTCCTAGTAATCCCTTCGCTCGTTGGCCAGCAACCGCACCATCCCGTCACACTTGGCCTGTGAACATAGGGCAGAACTGGCCAAACGCGAACCAAGCTGGAGCCCCGCCCAGCGACCTGCCGGCTCCGCCCAACGCCCCTCCGGCCCCGCCCATCAACTCGTCGGCCCCGCCCAGCGGTGCTGGCCTCCAGTAAGCCGCCGGGGCGCAGCCGCGCGGTGACGTCACGGGAGGCGTCCGGCGTAGGCGGAGCCTCTATTTGAATCTAATTGGCGGGAGTTGCAGCTGCAGTGGGACCTGTACGGCTATGGAGTCCGTTTCAGGGAGTGAGGAGAATGACGGAGGCTCAGCGACAGAGGAGTACGTGAATAGAATTCCGGTGCCAAGACCACCCTCCATTGAGGAGTTCACCATAGTGAAGCCCATTAGCCGTGGTGCATTCGGGAAAGTGTACCTGGGGCAGAAAGGCGGCAAGTTGTACGCAGTGAAGGTAGGAAGTCTAAAAGGCAGAGGGTCTTAGACGGTCCTCCCCTGCTGTCCTCCTTCCTCGTTGCTGGACAGGCTCTGGGGCTGCTGCCTGGCCCTGCTTGCCGAAGCCTGCACAGTCCTGCGTGCTGACGGCCGCGTTTGGGCTGACTGCAGTGAGCAGGTGTGTCTTTTCCCTTTCCCTGTCCTTCTTTCCTGTATCCCAAGAATCACTGCCCAGTGTAAAATAGCAAAATTTATTCAACGTTGACCTGGCCAGTGTTAACAAATGATAAAACCGAGGCTAAACGCAGAGGCTTGGAGCCACAGCCATGATTCCTGACTCATGTTTCAAAATCCAAAAGGCCTTAAGTACCTGTTGGTTATGGTTTCCTTGTTTGCTTCACGTACAGAATTTTGCTTTCACAAACATGATTGTTTTGTAGACGCTAATTTCAAATCCCACTCTTACCAAGAGAAAGTTGCGTTATATTAATTTATGTTGTGAAATTTTTGATTAAAGTATCATTTATTTTATGTATCATCTGGACTTTTGTTCTTTGCTGACTTGGGCTTCTCCAGGATTAAGTTTGATACTTTCATTAAGATTGTAATAGTTACTTTCAGATTATGTTTTAATTCCATCCATTTGATAATAGATTAATAGGCAGGAGCAAGTGCTGTACAACCAAAAGATCTCATTAAACTTCATTTTTCCTTTTCAATTTTTCCATAGTGATATCTAGATTTTAAGATCATTTATAGAGCAAGTAAAAAGAAATGTGTCCTAAATCAAGCCTTATTATCTGTATGTAATCCTTTTTTTTGGTTTGGTTTGTTTGGTTTTGGCTTTTTCCAGACAGGGTTTCTCTGTGGCTTTGGAGCCTGTCCTGGAACTAGCTCTGTAGACCAGGCTGGTCTCGAACTCACAGAGATCTGCCTGCCTCTGCCTCCCGAGTGCTGGGATTAAAGGCCTGTATGTAATCTTAAAAACAGTCATATGCACTTCAAATTGTTCTGTCCACTCTTGGTTCTCAGCCAATAGTGAAACTAACAAAGGGAAGCAGACTGTCGACGAATTGAGATTTCTGGTGTGCACCGTTGAGTAACTAGGGCAGGGTGAGCGGTCCTCTGCAGCTGACTGAAGGCTGCCACCTGTGTTCCTTCTCTTCCTTCACTACCTCCAACATCCTACCTACCCTGCAGGTTAGAGGCTTGAGACAGTGTTCCTTCTTATATTTCATCCATGTAGCTTATCTTTTAATATCCCTGTTTTCCCTCTGGAAGACATTATTTATTTTTAGTTTTTCATTCTTAAATTAATAGCTATGTTCAGGCCCTCATTTCTCCCCACTTGTTTATAAAAGTGCAGTTCAGTGATGATTTTAGTAAGTAGTTGTATAACCATCATCGCAATCCAATATTAGGATAGTTCCATAGCCCAGGAAATGGCCTTTTCTGCCTGACCTAATGCCGCTTCCTTTAACTGCTAACCTTTCCCCTCTCCACTGCTCTCTCTGTCTGTCTGTCTCTCTCTTTCTCTCTCTCTGTCTCTGTCACTCTCTGTCTCTGTCTGTCTCTGTCTCTGTCTCTCTCTCTCTCTTTCTCTCTCTCTCTGACCCAAATTTGTCCCAGATAGCCTTAGACTGTGATGTAGCTAAGGCTGGCTGGCTTTGAACTGCTGATGCTCCTGGCTCCATCTTCCAAGTGATGGGATTACATGTCGTGTGCACCAACCCACTCTATGTCTCTGCAAGGTTGCCTTTTCTGGACATTTCACAGAAATCATACAGTGTATGGTCTTTTGCATCCTTTTTTTTTTTTTTTTAATTTGCTTGGTGGTTTGAGGTTCATCAGGCCTTCATTTCTATACCTAGTTGATTGAAATAGTCCCTTAACTCGAATCATTATTTTTACTTTTAATCCATTCTTAGGCTGTGCTGTGCAGGCCAAAATCCAGAATCCTTAGGCAATCAGTCATACTCCCAATTTTTGGCCCTAGACCTTCACTGTGTGTTCCACATAATTTATGTTCTAGCAACGCCCAAACCGCCAACTGGTTCCTCAAAGCCATGAATTATATTTTGTGACCCAGAACTTGTTTATTCCAGTTCCTTAACTGTTTTTCCTTCGATAACATGTCAAGCAATGATTGTTGATCTGAAAACACCAATTAATCTGTTCAATAAATAGTTTTTGGATCTGGGGTATAGTGGTAAACAAAGCAAACAGGCCTCCATGGAGATTCTGCCAGTCCCGGGAGATAACAGGTAGAATCACATCGTAGGTTTGCTGTGTTTATCTCTACAGTGCTGGGAAGGACAGACCTGGGCCTAACCCATGACAGGTAAGTGCTCTGTCACTGATCTACATCCCTAGCCCTCTCCTCGGTCTTTCTTAAGAAAATGAGGTAAAGCTAGAATTTATCATGTAGTAATCATTTTATTAAACATGTTAAGTGAATGCCTTTTTATAATAAGCATTGATTCCAGTGGGTGTTTTTAATATTTTCATTAATTCTTTGAAAATTATATGATCCTAATATTTCTATTGCATCTACTGCTACAACTTGAATGTATTGTTTTGTTTCTTACCTATTACCTTGAAACTTAAAAGGTGTAATTTGGCCAGATGTGATAGCACACACCCGTACAGTCAACACTTGTGAGGTGGAGGTGGGAAGACTGAGAGTTCAAGGGCATCCTCAGCTACATAGTAAATTCAAGGCCAGCCTCAGATTCATAAGGATGAGAATATAGCTCATATTTTTCTGGATGGCAGCACTTGAGAATATTTCAGAATTCTGTTTTGTTTTATATTTTTTGAGATTAGAGTCTGTGGTCCATGCTTGCCTCGGCCTCCTAAATGCTGATATTACAGGCAAGTGCCACCATGACCAGCTGTCATTGTTCCTGAGACAGACTTTAACATTAAAAAAAGGGGGGGTTGAATTCTTTATTTTATGTGTATGAGCATTTTGGCTGAATGTATGTATGTGGACCATACACAGACCTGGTACCTAGGGAGACCACAAGAAGATGATGGATTCCCTGGAAGGAGAGTTACAGATGGTTGTGAGACACCATATGCTGGGAAGCAAACTCAGATCCTCCATAAGGAAAGTACTTTTAACCACTCAGCAATCTCTCCAGCCCGCAATGTTTTCACTCTGTTCCCCTCTGTCAAGGAATATGTATATGTACGTGAGTCTGTGCCACATGTGTGGATGGATGCCTGGAGAGGTCAAGGTGTTGGAGATTCCTAGGAACTGGACTCACAGGCAGTTGGGAGCTTTCTGACCTGGGTACTGGGGACTGAACTTGGGTCCTCTGTCAGAGTAATACACACTCTTAACCACGGGGCCATCTTTCCAGTCCTCGACAATTATGCTCTATTCCTCTCTGTTAAAGAACGAGAAGCTAAAATGTATATGTGTATGTATTCGATGGGATTATTAGAAACATTATTATCTTTTGACCTTGTTATTAATAAAACTTTCCTACAAACAAACAGATCATTAGAAAGAGTTTAATTCCTTTTCTTTCTCAAGTACTTTTGCTGTTTAGTCCCACAGCAAGCACTGTTATCTTTTTAAAAAATGTTTTCTTCTTTAACAACTGAGATATTCATCTGGCAGTTTTCTAACGTTGGTCAAATCTAAATGACATCTATAGCTCTTATCTTGGTGTTTTTATGATAGCAACTTTGAAACTTCTGAATCCTTTCTAGTAAGAAAGGGGGTAAATGTGTTTGGTGTCATGTCCTCTTTTATAGGTTGTCAAAAAAGCAGACATGATCAATAAAAACATGACTCATCAGGTGCAAGCTGAGAGAGATGCCCTGGCTCTGAGTAAAAGTCCTTTCGTTGTGCATCTCTTCTACTCGCTGCAGTCAGCCAGCAATGTCTACCTGGTGAGTGAACGGCTTGATGCCCTCTGGTGCCCTCCCAGAGCACGGCATCTGTCTAGCATGCTTGCATTTAACTTTCTGCTCTCCCACTTGCAAGTTTAATGACCTTCACCAACTTACATGCTGTTTTAGTGAGAGCTTTCCAAAGAAAAAGAACCAATAGGATGTGTTTGTACGTATGTAAAGACACAGTAAAAGGGATTTGTTTAAGGAATCCAGTTATTCAGCTCTTAATTGGTTGGCAGTCGAAACTACTAGGTTTGTTCCTTGCAAGGCTGATGAAGGATTAATGCTGCCAGTTCTACAAGCCATCTGAAGGCAGGCTTCCTTTACTTTGAGGATTTTAGTCTTCTCTCCTGCTACTGGCCTTCAACTGATTGTTTGAAGGCTGTTGACATTATGGGGGAAATGTGCTTTATCAAAGTTTACTGATTTAAATGCTTACCTGAAGAATACTTTAAGTGAGTTATAAAAATGATATCTAGTCTAAAAACTGGTCTGGTACCTAATGATTTAGTCTGCTTCCAAACTTTAGGAAACCTTCAAGTAAATTTGAACTAGTGTTAAATGTGGTACAAAAATCTAATAATATAGTCAGGAATTTTAGAAAGGAAGAAGGTTTGGTAGCATAGTGCTGAGTGCTTTTTTTATTGCATCAGGATGAATTTACAATCAAGGCATTTTTGTTGTCCTTTTATTTTTTAATAAGCCACCGTTCAATAAATGGTACACGGGATCATACAGGGAACAGCAACCTTTTGACAACATAGCATTTCATTATTTAATCTCGAATTTGATCATTTCTTTGATGATTATGTTGTTGATGAAACTGTTTCAGGTCTTTGTCTGGTTCTGTTTTCTTTAGTCGAGTGAATTTCTTTTTTTTTTTTTTTTTTTGGTTTTTCGAGACAGGGTTTCTCTGTGGCTTTGGAGCCTGTCCTGGAACTAGCTCTGTAGACCAGGCTGGTCTCGAACTCACAGAGATCCGCCTGCCTCTGCCTCCCGAGTGCTGGGATTAAAGGCGTGCGCCACCATCGCCCGGCCTAGTCGAGTGAATTTCTGTGTTGGGTTGTGATAAGCTCCAATAATGAAGCTGATCCCTGGCGGTGCTAGGGAAGTAGTTTTGGTGTGAGGATACAAGTTTGTGTGGGAAAGCTAAGCTCCAAAACAAAGCTAAAAGCTGTGCAAGATGGCACAGGTCTATAATCTTAGCATTTGGAGGGGAAGCAAGAACATTGCACATTCTGGGCCAGCCTGAGCCTCAGAGAGAGAGAGAGAGACAGAGAGAGAGAGAGAGAGCGAGACAGAGAGAGAGAGAGAAAGAGAGAGAGAGAGAGAGAGAGAGAGAGAGATCAGTAAGATCAAGCAGAGCACCTTCAGAAAATGTCTAGGTTATAAAGCAGTGTGAAATAGCATTCTGTTTTTCAGGTGATTCACTATAAAAAATGAATACCCACCTGGATGGAGGTGGGTGGTCCTTGGACTTCCCACAGGGCAGGGAACCCTGATCGCTCTTTGGGCTGAAGAGAGAGGGGGACTTGATTGGGGGAGGGGGGGGAAATGGGAGGTGTCGGCGGGGAAGAGACAGAAATCTTTAATAAATAAATAAATTAAAAAAAATGAATACCAAATAGAAGAGCAATTGACTTTCCATCTGCTAAGCTAGTGGTTACAAACCACTGACCTATGACCAAGTCTGACTGTTAGGAGCCAAGAAGAACATTTGCTTTTTTTTTTTTTTTTTGAAATTTAATTTAATTTAATTATTTATTTTTGCTCTGGGTTTAGAGCACCAAATAAACTGGATGTGTTGGTATGCACATTTAATCCCAGCACTGAGGAGGTAGAGGCAGGAGGATTGGGCGTTCAAACAAGTTTGAGGCCATCCTGGATACAGAAGACTATGCTTTAGAAAAGTGGGGGGTGGGAGGACATTAAGAAAAAAACTTCAAAGACTATTTTTGGAAATTGGAATAGTTCAGTGGGCAAGAGTTCTTGCTGCATAGCCAGGAGAACCTGAGTTCAAATTCCTAGAGCTCATAATACGCTAAGTGTGATCATAGATGGCCCTGTAATACTAGTGCTTTATGTAGGGTCACAAAACACAAATATCACTGAGGCTTGCTACCCACCAAGCTCCAGAGTCAGAGAATAAAGACAGGGACAGAGTAGTATTCCTGATGTCCTCTGGCCCTGTGAATACACATGTATACCACACAACACCAAGAAAATACTTTTTTTGTTACTTGAAAATTACATTGAAATTTGAATTTTAGTCAGTGGGTAAAGTTTTATTGGAACCTAACCACATCCTTTTGTTACCTACATCTTCAGCAGTATTACAATGGCAGAGTGAAATAACTGTAAGAGTCCCACAAAGCCCAAAGTGTTTATTATCTGCATCTTCACAGAAAAAAAAATAAAAAGGGTAATATCCTTGAATGCTATGTCCAAAGAAGGTGGGAGCGTTGTCTTGTTACCAACCTGGACCAGATGTGTCCTGGTTGTCAGCATCTTGCTCCAAGAATTGAAGAAACACACACACATGGATACCACCCAACACCAAGCAAAGTGTTATGCAGAGACACAGAGGATGTGTGGTTTCGATAGCTGAAAAGAATAACAGCACTGAGAAATTTGCTGCAGAGCTCCCTGGTTACTGCCTGAGGCTTCCAGCAGGAAGAGGAGTTGATTTCTAGAGGGGTGTGGTGCTTCTCTGTTTGATTGAAAGCTTGGCTTGCGTAAGCTTTTGCCTATTATGCATGTCCTTTCCTGTGATGCCTCTGACTTTAATTCTATACATGCCCAATTATGCATAGGCATAAGGTCATACATAGGAGTTTTCCTTTAAAATTTCATGTTTAGAACATGGATTGTCTGACTGCACCAGTGTAGACTGGACTGACCTACCACCTCTGGTTTCAGGATAAGTTTCAAGATGTGTTTCGCCACAAAAGAAGAGCTAATAAGGTTTGGCAGGGAGGTATATATAGGTCAGGGTGACCTAACTGCTTTGTTTGGAGAGGATTTGTACGTGCAGCTAGATGCAGATGGGGCTCAAGCCAGACATGATCCCGGGTTGATAAGTTATCTGTGCTTACCTGCCTCTGCTTAATCCTTTAATTCTTCTGGAGGCCTTCAAATATCTTCATAGCATCCTGTTTTACACGTATGTGTATAAAAACCATGATTGTGTCTCTGTTATTGACCCTGATTTAACTCACTGGTAGCCAGTAGCTTCCAATTCTATTAAAACAATAGGTAAGTGGTAGGTGTGATTGCTCAGCATTGTAGCTTTTTGTTCTCACTCTAGAATTATTAAACAGGTATAGTATTTTTATTTCTTTTGTTTTTGGTTTATTGTTTATATATGGTGCTGGGGTGCAAACTCAGAGCCCTACACATGCTAGGGAGGAATCCTGCCACTAAGCTATATTTCCAGTTCTATTTTCATTTATTCTAGACATTTCGTTGATAATAGACATGTCTTACACATCCTACTTTATTATTGGTTTAGATCTTGGTACTCAAAATGTGGTCCATAGACAAACATGGCCACACTATCGAGGGGTTTATTAGAGATCCAGAGGCCTGAAGCTATAGCTCAGTAGTAGAGTGCTTTATAAGATCCGCTGGACCCAAAGATTAGTCCCCAGGTACGTTGGCAGGAGTGAGGTTGGGTGTGCAAGGGAGGTGCTCAAGAAGAAAACGAAAGCTCAAACTCATCTAATTACAGTCTCATCTGGTGGCCGTTACCAGAAAGGACTGTATCACCTCTATATTTATGCCAAATATTCATAACATGGATCAAATCATGAGAAAATTCATCAAATAATCTCAAATTAAAAAGCTTCCTTCTGTCAACAAGCCTGTTTTCTTCAACATTATTTTTATCATGAAAGATGCACACTGAAAATTTGCTCTGGACTAGAAGAATCTAGAGAGAGATTTAACAAGAAATTGCCTTGTGTTACGGCTTATGAGAGGGAAGTTATGAAGGGCAATATTGAGATGGTCATAGAAATATCAATATACTACATGTTAGAACTTTATTGCTCTGCACTTATGTAAGGGTGCCTTAGTCAGCAACTGATGATGAGTCTAATGGCCGTCAGGTGTCACAGAACAAGCCTGCAGTCGCAGATTTTAGAGGTAAGGACAGGAGGATCGCAAGCCTAGGCCAACCAAGTGTACAGAGGAATATCGTCTCCAAACAGAAGCTTCAGGAACAGTTCACTAACTTCTGAACTTTATTATCAAATTACTCAGCAAACACTAACACACACTACAGTGGTGTGCACTTGGGAGTACAAATAGAAGAGAAATGAAGGCCAAAGGGTCTGCATAACCAAGAGTTTAAGACTAGCCAGAACAGCATAGTAAAATAAAATAAAATTACATTACAGTACCAAGTAACTGCGGTAACTGTAATATTTAAATTTAAAAGCTTAATCTAAACAAAATTACATCCATATAAAATAACTATTAATTTATTAGAGTGTAGATATTAATATATGTCTTAGGGTTTCTAGTGATGTAATGAAACACCATAACCAAAAGCAGCTTGGGGAGGAAAGAGGGTTTTTTTGGTTTATATGTCCTAAGCCACAGTCCATTGAGGGAAGCGGGAGCCTGGAGACAGGAGCTGATACAGAGGCCGTGAAGGAGTGCTGCTTCCTGCTTTGTCCTCATGGGCTTGTTCAGCCTGCTTTCTTATAGGATTCAGGACCACCAGCCCAGAGGTGGCACCGTCCACAATGAACGGGGTCCTGCTACTTCAATCGCTAATTAAGAAAATACCCTACAGGCATGCCTGCCTACAGCCCAGTTTTATGGAAGCATTTTCTCAGATGAGATCACTCCTCTCAGATGACTCTAGCTTGTGCCAAGTTGACATAAAAACTAGCCAGCACAATATATAATATTAATGTTAAAATATATATGTGGAGGGAAAACCAAACCTGTCCCAATTTTAAAAAATTGTGCACTGAGATGCTGGAAAAATGGAAGTAATTTTAATAATAGTCTTTGAACTTTCATGTAACTCTGGTTTTTGTTCAAACTGACCAGTTCAGTTTTTAACCAGAAAAATAATATGAGAAGCCAGGATTGATGATACATGCCTATCATCCCAGTACTTGGAAAACTAAGACAGAAAAATGATAAGTTAAAGCAATGAGTGATAACAAAAAAAATATGTTTTATTGTGTAACTACTCTAAAAAATAAAACTGTAATCTCCAAAAACTATACATTCAAGTGTATTATTTTTGAATTTTTTGATAGGTAATGGAATATCTTATTGGTGGAGATGTCAAGTCTCTCCTACATATATATGGTTATTTTGATGAAGAGATGGCTATAAAATATATTTCTGAAGTTGCGCTGGCTTTAGACTATCTGCATAGACATGGAATCATCCATAGGTAAGACTGACTTTTCTGTACATTGTTACTTAAAATGTATTGTGTTTGAATCTTTAACATATACAGAAACTGCTTGCTGGTATTTCTAGTTTACCTACAGCTCAGTTGTCATGTGCATGTAGAGAGTGGACTGGCTCTTGTGTAATCACCCTATGTTTTATTAAATGTCGCTTTGAACATAAACAGTTTAATATGAAGCTTATTAATCTCTTTCCACGCCCATACAGAAGCGATGGTCTGTGGTCTCAGCTGATGTGCATGCCCTTCTCTGCTCAGAGAAAGGCTTAATAGCTCTGCTCTGTTAAAACTTAACCACACCTTGCTTTAAAGGGGTGAATATACATTTGAATTGGTGCTGGATAAGATATCTGAATAGAATGCCAAAAAGAATCTAGTACTGAATCATATAATTTTTTTGTAGATTCCAATATGTAATAGATGGTTTTGAGGACTGTTTTCTAGACTTTACTGAGCCACTCATGAGGACTTCTATTTTAAAGAAAATAATTGCATTTCCTCTTGCAATTCCCCAACCCCTTCCCATCTGGTATTTTAGCATTAAGACTACTTTTTGTGTCTGTTTGCCTTTTGTATGTCAGGGACTTGAAACCAGACAATATGCTTATTTCCAATGAGGGTCATATTAAGCTGACAGATTTTGGCCTTTCCAAAGTTACTCTGAATAGAGGTAAGAATAATGGCAGGTAAGTGCCAACTTCAGACATTCTATTTCATTAACTTAACTTTTTTTGTTAATTTACATTAGACAAAATGTGGTGGGTATTCTGAGATAGGCTAGAAATTAGTATGTCACTCTGTTTTCCCCTTGGGGTCTGTGGCAGAATGTGAAGAAGAAGAAAAAAGATAAGAAAGAAAATAACCGTTCTTGGATTTTCAAAAGTCCTTAAAACTTCTTAGATCTTTAAAGAGGAACTGGCAGCTGCTATTCTCTTTCTCCTTGCTGAAACAGAATATAATCCAGAGTTGATTACTAAAATACTTATGCTAATACATCCTGCCACCACCATGACCTTGGTAGATGCAATTCATTCACATATATGAAAATAAGTTCTGTTCTGAGTAATTTCTAAAATTCTAATATAAGAAATAACAAATTTACACTATTAATACTACAAAGAAATACTGGTCCATAAGCAAAACTACACAAAAGAACCCTGTTTTCCTAAAAGAGATTATTTACATTTATAGTATGTATTTTTTTGAAAGCTTAGTGCTTTCAAAAGAAAAATTGTCTATGTTTTAAGAAAGCAGAAGATTTTAATTCTCTCTGATTTTGTGTGGAGTGTTTTAGAAGAGGGTATAATAAGTAACACCGGGTTTATACAGCCTAGGTTGATCTTAACCTTGTCATGTAGCCACAAATAACCATCAATTCGTGCCTGCAGCTCACAGTGCTGGGCTTATAGACAGAAGCCACTGTATCTGGTTTTGATGCATTGAGTTCTTAATCCTAGAGAGTAAACTCAGGTCTCTTGTACACTAAGCAAGCATTCTGACTCTAAACTACATTCCTAGCCTCTTGGTCTTACATTTTAGAATTTATTCTATACCTGTGGGTGTAGAGAACAAAACTTAAGAGACTAAAATGATTTGCAGTACCATTGTATAATTAATTGAAGCAAGACATTACTTAAGTTCATCATAGACTTATGGTAAGATCTTGAAAATAGACTGGATTCTCTATTAAGAAATGTGGAAGAGGGGCTGGCAAGATCTCTTAGCAGGTAAGAGCACTTGCTGCAGAAAACTAGAGTTCAGTTCCAAGCGTTGGCGTCAGGTGGCTCACAGCAGCTTGTAATCCAGCTCCATGGGATCTGACGCTGTCTTCGCCTCCACATGCACACACATACATCTGGCTTGCATGCACTCAGACACCCATGTACACATAAATAAAAATCAATCTTTTTAAAAAGGAGTGTAGATGAGGAAGAGAGAGAATGTGGGAAGATGTGAAAGTGATCCTGGGGAGGGGAAGAAAGAAGAACTAAGTATAGAACACACTGTGAAGATGCTGTGGTGAAATCCAGTCCCATGTGTGTAACCTAAAGGAAGCAAGCAAACTCCACGAGAGTGCCAACATGGCTCTGAGGCAGTTGCTTGCTTAGAGTCTGTGTGAAGACCTGGGTTTGCCCTCAGCAACACAGATACACACAACAAAGGACTAGCTGAAAAGGTAGATTTTTTTTTTATTTTGCTTTTGCATTTTTTTCATTGTGTATATGTGCATAATATGGGGTGGAGGCAAGTGCCAGAGGCCAGAAGACAACTTTGTTCTGTCCTACCTTTACTTAGATTCCAAGGATCAAACTCAGGGCACCCAGCTAGGGAAGTGAACGCCTTATCCCATTGAGCCATCTCACTGGCTCTTGCTTTTGGATTTTTGAGGCATGTTCTTGTTCTGTAGCCCTGGCTAGACTGTGATTTACTGTACAGACCAGACAGACTTGAACATGTGAAAATTCTCCTGCCTCTGCCTCCTGAGCACTGGGATACAGGCATGTGCTACTACACCCAGCTTTTTCAAAATGTTTAGTAAATGAAGAGTAATGTAAAATTGGATCTAAAATTTGTAAACTCTGAAATTGTAAGCATTTGAACATACATACAAGTCTATAATTAAGTATAGAACAGGGCTTATATAAAGAGCAGACTTCTTTATGATTTTTTTTTAAAGTTTATTATGTATGTAGTGTTCTGCCTTCATGTACACCTGCGTGCCAGAAGAGGGCGCCAGATCTCATTACAGATGGTTGTGAGCCACCATGTGGTTGCTGAGAATTGAACTCAGGACCTCCAGAAGAACAGCCAGTATTCTTAACCCCTGAGGCCTCTCTCCAGTCCCAATGTTGAATTTATTTTAAAGTATTACCTTAGTTATTGTTCTATTGCTGTGAGAGACACCACAATCAAGTCAACTCTTGTAAAACAAGCGTTTAATTGGGGGCTTGCTTACAATTTCAGGGGGCTAGTCCATTGTCATCATGGCATGGAGCATGGCTGTACATTGGTAAGCCCTAGATGAGTAATTGAGAGCTTTACATCCTGATCTGCAGGTAGAGAGAGAGACAGAGACTGGGCCTGGCATGGCCTTTTGAAACCTCAGTACTCACTCTGAAGTGACACACTTCCTTAAACAAGGCAAGATCTACTCCAACAAGACCATACCTCCTAACCCTTCTAATCATTTCAAACAGTGCCACTCCCTGGTGACTAAGCATTCTAATATATGAAATACATATTCAAACCATCACAAATACTATATATTGAAACATTCTAATAAAGTAGATCAGTTTTTCTCTTGACCTAAGCTTAACATATGAGTTAATATAAAGGAACCATAATTGGATTAACTCCTTATTTTCTCCCCCCCCCCAATACTTTATTTATAACAAATAAATACCCCAATACTTTATTTATATCTTGTCTATTTTTAGAGCTTATAACTTTTAGGTCTTCCATATGACAGTGATGTTTTTCATACATGCTTATAATGTGTTTGATCGTATTCACACACGCCCTTTACCCTGTTATCCCACTTCTGCTGATTACCTCCCTCGTCCCAATTAGTCCCTCTATAATGTTTTCATGTCTTCTGTGTTCTCTTAAAAGCCCAGTTAGTTACAGTAGGGTTGTTTGCAGGAGTGTGGGACTTTCCCTGTGGCTACATCCCTGAAGGAAATGTCTCTCCTCCCCTGGAAACTAATAACTGCAGACCTTGTTACCCTTCCCTACCCCTGTTGTGATGTGGGTAGGCCCAGTCTTGTGCAGGTCTTGTTCAAGTGATCACAGTTGGCTTAAACTCAAGAATATACAGTCATTCCTGTAAGTCAACCTCCCACATCATCCTTACCCCCACTCTCCAGCTCTAGCAATGCTCCCATCCTGTCTGTGATGTTCCCTGCACCTGGAGGTAGGATATGTGCCAGAAATGGCCTCTTCATGCTGGGCATTCAGTAGTCACTTTGACAGGTATGAGCATCTGTAATTACTGAACCCACTACAAAGATAAACTTCTCTAGCCAGAACTGACAGCAGCAATGATCTATGGATATAAACATAATTATTTTGAAGGCAATTTGATAGGTACATCAGATCCCATTTGTCAAAATTAGAGCAGAGGAACTTCCTCCCTCCCAAAGGTTTATGACATTTCCAAACATGGACTTTTGATTTAGTTTAACGTATCAGACAAGGATTCTGTCCCTCAGAGCAGGCCTGAAATCCACTTAGAGACTTGTAAGTTACCCTTTAACATATGGTGCCACTATTGCACCAATGGGCCTGCCTGGCCTAGTCTGACAGCACTATTGTATACAGCATCTATAGCTGGGTAAGCCTGGTATTGATAATCCCCCTCCAACGGCCCCCCTGGCCCCACTGGTTCTGTGAGAGCCAGCCAGCAGGGATTTCCACCATCCCCCAGCGACCCCCTAGCACCCTCTGGTACTGTGAGGACCAGCCAGCAGGGATTCACCCTCAGAGGCCCCTTTGCACCCTCTGGTTCTGTGAGGGCCAGCCAGCAGGATTCCCCCCAGCATTCCCCTTGCACCCTCTGGTTCTGTGAGGGCCAGCCAGCAGGATTCCCCCCAGCATTCCCCTTGCACCCTCTGGTTCTGTGAGGGCCAGCCAGCAGGATTCCCCCCAGCATTCCCCTTGCACCCTCTGGTTCTGTGAGGGCCAGCCAGCAGGATTCCCCCCAGCATTCCCCTTGCACCCTCTGGTTCTGTGAGGGCCAGCCAGCAGGATTCCCCCCAGCATTCCCCTTGCACCCTCTGGTTCTGTGAGGGCCAGCCAGCAGGGAAGGAACTCCTGTCTCACTTTCATTGTAACTTCTCTGTATCACACAGTAAGGGAGTGTGCTGTGCGCTGCTCTCAACAATGAGGTCTTGTTTTGGTGACTAGCCAATAGCAGTGGCAATTGCTTGTATTGAAATAACTGATAATTAGTGACTGAGTGTTTCTTAAAAAGCTGATAGTGTTCTGAGTTATTTTGCTGTTTTCTATCTATTCTACAAGACTGTTGTAGAAAATGTTTTTCCCATCCTGAGGCTAGAACCCAGGGCCTTATGCATGCTTTGCTGGACAAGACACTCTACCACTGAGCCATATCTCTACCTCTCAATTTTTAATGATTTCAACTAATTAATTAGTTGTAAATGTTGCCTCTGTAGTTCAGAACTTTCTCTGCATATATGTATCCTACACTAGCCAGTTTTGTAGGTAAAGTTAATAACATAGAGAGACAAAGGACCTGTGGTGGTGGTGCATGCCACCAGCACTCAGGAGGCAGACAGCCAGAGCTTCACACAGAGAAACCCTGTCTCAATAACAAAGAGAGGTATGGTTCAGAATATATGATTACTGATATAGTCAATGATAGCAATGGTTTTTAACTATATTCATATATTTTTCTTTGCATAGATATCAATATGATGGATATTCTTACAACACCCTCCATGGCTAAGCCTAAGCAGGATTACTCACGAACCCCAGGACAAATCTTATCTCTCATCAGTTCTTTGGGATTTGTGAGTACTCAATAAGGAAAACCTTTTCGTCATTACCACTTAAAGTGTTAACCTGCTTTAAGATAAAAATAATATATATATATAACGTGAGGGGGCCTTACTTTTGGCAGTTTGTGTACCCAGGTGGTAGGGCATCTATTTTCTGTATTCATCTGAAAATGAATCTCTTAGTATTTGTTTTTAATTTTTGCTTTTACTATTTTTCTTTTTAGAACATTTTTATCACATGTGGGTGTGGGTGTGTGCACCACGGCGCACAAATGGAAGCAGAGGATAACTTGTACAAGTCAGTTCTCTCCTTCCACCGCACGGGAGACCCAGGGATGGAAGCAGGGGATAACTTATAGTCAGTTCTCTCCTTCCACCGCACGGGAGACCCAGGGATGGAAGCAGGGGATAACTTGTACAAGTCAGTTCTCTCCTTCACCACACGGGAGACCCAGGGATTGGAGCAGAGGATAACTTATAGTCAGTTCTCTCCTTCCACCGCACGGGAGACCCAGGGATGGAAGCAGAGGATAACTTATAGTCAGTTCTCTCCTTCCACCGCACGGGAGACCCAGGGATTGAAGTCAAGTCCTCAGGTGGGAGGTGCTTTTACCCGCGACTATCTCACTGGCCCCAAATAATTCTGCTTTTTCATAGTTCACACCAATTGGAGAAAAAGATCAAGACTCTGCAACCGTGTTTTCAGCCCCTAAGTCTGAAGCACAACTTTCTCAAGGATTAATTTGCCCTATGTCCATAGATCAGAAGGAGCCTTCTCATTCTAGCAGGCTGCTAAAGCCATGTAAGTATAAAAGACTATTTTTTTCCACCAAGAGTGTACTTTAAAAAACATCTCAAAATTTTAAATTCCTACTAGCAATTTAATAACTTAAAAATGCCAATAGTCAGACAGTCTGTGACACTCCTATATTATTACATAAATGATGATCACAGTGGATTTTATAAATCCCACAGAATAAACTGTCTTGCTAATAATCATATTTAATTACCTATAATTTAGGAATGATGGTTGAGTAAATGTCACTAAACTTTGACTTATGAAAATTGTATATGAAAAAGATAAAGTAGCTGCAGTGTTTGTCTTTATAAATTTATTCCCAAAAGATTCTGAGATAGTTTAAATTTAAAACTCAAAACAGAGTCGGCTGAGGTTTGGTCGTTGCTCATTGCTTTGGGGTTTTTGTTTGTTTGCTTGCTTCTTTTTATTTTGTTTTGTTGGTGTTTTGAGACAAGTTCTTAATATGTTGTCCATGCTAATGTTGAGCCCAGGTTGGCCTTTAAATTTCAGTGTTCTTGCCTCAGCCTCCTGAGTACTAAAGTTACAGGTATATGTCTCCACAACATGTTTCAAAGTAAGTGTATTTTTGCATTTAAGAGAAAATGCTGGGTATAGTGGCACACACCTTTAATAGCAACACCAAAAACAGGTGGATCTCTGAGTTCGAGGCCAACTTAATCCACCTAGAGGATTTGTGTATGAAAAATTAAGTTGGATTAGATGGACTTGGAAATTCCCTTCCTAATTGTAAAATGTAATACTGATTATGTTAATGTTGTGTGTGTGTGTGTGTCTGTGTGTGTCTGTGTGTGTCTTTGCCTGTGTGTCTGTGTGTGTCTGTGTCTGTGTGTGTCTGTGTCTGGTGCAGGTGACGGAACTCAGACCTTGTGCATCCCAGTGTTCTGCCTCCAAGTCACAACCCCAGCATCTTCTCACATTTTATTTCAAGACAGTCTCACTGGGCTTCCGGTTCTAGAGGTTAGAGGTGTTGATGGCAGAGCTGGGACATAGTGGCTTGAGCAATAGTTGTGTGGTCACATCTTTACAAGCAAGAAGCTGAGAACACCTTGACTCAGCTTGAAACCTCAGTCTGTCCTGTGACGCACTTCCTTCTTTAAGGCTACAACTAATCCTTCCAAACACTTCTACCAACTGGGGACCAACTGACCCAACATGAGCCAATGTAGGTCATTCTCATTCAGGTCACCACAATACGCATTTTTACAGACATATAAAATCTTCAGATGTCTACGTAATTCAGCACAATTGTCTGTCTTTAATTGAAAGTAAAGTGAGGACCTTTATTCTGTATGCAAAACCACTTGAAAAGGGCATGATGGTGCTTTTGTAATCCCAGAACTACATACAGAAACAGACAGGGATTCCTTGGGCTGACTGGTCAGCCAGCCTATCCTGCTTGCATAACTCTTAGCCTGTGAGAGATCTTATCTTTAAAACACATGGAAAGATGACTCAGCAATTACGGCACTGGCTGCTTTTCCAGAGGATCTGGCTTCAATTCCCAGCCCCCACATGGCAGCTCACAACCGTTTGTAAGTCCAGTTCTAGGATATCTTAACACGCTTTCTGACCTCAGTGGGTACTAGGCATGCACATGATGTCCAGACACACATGCAAGCAAAATACCTATACATATAAAATAAAAATAAACTAAAATTCAGAAAATATGCCAGGTGGCGGTGGTGTACACCTTTAATCCTAGTACTCAGGAGGCAAGAGACAGGCAGATCTCTGTGAGTTTGAGGCCAGCCTGGTCTACAGAGTAAGTTCCGTGACAGACTCCAAAGCTACACAGAGAAACCATGTCTTGAAAAACCAAAAAAAAAAAAACAAAAAAAAAAAATCAGAAACTACATACGAAGATGATGATGATGATGATGATACATGGTGCCTGCCCAGACTCTGCCTCCAGCTCGAATGAACACGCACACAGCTAAGGAGTAACCATTTCTAACCATATTAATGTAGGATGGAGGGGGCAAGTATACTCTAGGTACTACCTTATTGCACTGCACGCTGGCAGACAGGCAGTTTTCCATCATGTAACAAAATTCCCTATGGAGGTATAAGTGTGAAGCTCATCGGTAGAATGTTTGTTAAATGTATACACTGCTGTGGGTACAATCCTGAGCACTGCAAAAATTAAATAATAAATAAATAAAGCAAATGCCTATGGCTTTGTGTAATTCACACTGATGAGCATCATAAATTTCAACATCTCCATTACTGCTACAATTTTAATTAAACATAAATTGTTCTGGATGAATCTGGTAACATTCTAAGCTTATAGCATATTTCAATAGTGCAATCCAGTAAATTGTCCTTTATTTATAACTCTAAAATAAATCATATAACTCAAAATAAATTTCCTTCTAGTTATATTTAAATTTCCTTCTCCTGGCTTTTATTTTACAAATGTAAATGGATTTTCTTTTGTTATAACTGTTGGAGCTTTGCCTACATGTGAAATAATTCATGAATCTGAACATAATAAAAATCATATCAGGCACACTACCATCCTTGGGGACTAGATAATGTTTACAATAGTTATCATATATAATGTAATATGCAGTTACCTGGAAAGAGTCAAGTTTCATAAAGAACTAATAGCTGTGAAAATAAACAAGTATTTTTCTCCCGAGGCCTTGAAAGACTTACATCCAATCCAGAAGCCCCTGTGAAATGTCTGACCTCCAATCTGCTCCAGTGCAGGAAAAGGCTGGGCACAGCAGACACTAGCAGTCAGTCCCAGACCTTCGTGTCCAGTATGGAGTCAGAGTGCCACAGCAGTCCCGAGTGGGAAAGAGACTGCCAGGTGAGGAGGGCGTCTGTGGAAGCCCAAGCTGGTGGTACAGGTGCAGCCAGTGATGGCCACGCCATGCCTATCCGTGTAAAACCTATGAGGAAGTAGCATTGTCATATGGGCACAGTTGCAGTATTATAAAAGCTCTTTATTTTTCTGGGACATTCTGTCAAATTCTTTTAATATTTTTATTTCATTTCTTATTCAGTTATGATATGAGTCTTGCTTAAAGTATGATGAGTGATTAAGTATTAAGTAAACCAATAGAAAATGTTTGGCTTCCTGGCAGACTTTTTAATTTCCTTCTGTAATAAAGACAGGAATAATAGTTTGTTGTTTGTTTACCTACATACTTTGTTTTTTATTAATTTTTTTTATTGAGAAAAGGAAAAAAAAAGTATCCGCCTCCTCCCAACCTCCCATTTCCCTCCCCCTCCTCCCACCCTTCTCCCCCTCCCCCCAAACTCCTCTCCCCCTCCCTCTCCAGTCTAAAGAGCAGTCAGGGTTCCCTGCCTGTGGAAAGTCCTAGGTCCGCCCCCCTCCGTCCATGTCTAGGAAGGTGAACATCCAAACTGGCTAGGCTCCCACAAAGCCAGTACATGAAGTAGGATCAAAACCCCGTGCCATTGTCCCTGGCTTCTCATCAGCCCTCATTGTTCGCCATGTTCAGAAAGTCCGGTTTTATCCCATGCTTTTTCAGTCACAGTCCAGTTGGCCTTGGTGAGCTCCCATTAGATCAGCCCATTGTCTCAGTGGGTGGGTGCACCCCTCGTGGGCCTGACTTCCTTGCTCATCTTCTCCCTCCTTTCGCTCCTCATTGGGACCTTGGGAGCTCAGTCCAGTGCTCCAGTGTGGGTCTCTGTCTCTATCTCCATCCATCACCAGATGAAGGTTCTATGGTGATATGCAAGATATTCATCAGTATTGCTATAGGATAGGGTCATTTCAGGTTCCCTATCCTCAGCTGCCAAGGGACTATCTGGGGACATCACCCTGGGCTCCTGGGCGCCACTCTACGGTCAAGTCTCTTGCCAACCCTAAGGTGGATCCCTTAACTAAGAATTGTGTTTCCGTGCTCCCCTGTCCAACCTTCCTTTATCCCAATCCTCCCGTTTCCCCAAGTTCCCCCCTCCTTCCCTTCTCACTTTTCTCTCCCCAACTCCCTCATCCCACCCCACCCCCAAGATCCCAATTTTCTCCCCGGCTATTTTGTCTACTTCCCATAGCCAAGAGGGTAACTATATGTTTTTCCATGGGTTCACCTTCTTATTTAGCTTCTTTAGGTTCACCAATTGTAGTCTCCGTGACCCTTATTTATGGCTAGAAACCAATTATGAGTGAGTACATCCCATGTTCATCTTTTTGGGTCTGGGATACCTCACTCAGAATAGTGTTTTCTATTTCCATCCATTTGCATGCAAAATTTGAGAAGTCATTGTTTTTTACCACAGCGTAGTACTCTAATGTGTATATATTCCATACTTTCTTCATCCATTCTTCCATTGAAGGGCATCTAGGTTGTTTCCAGGTTCTGGCTATTACAAATAATACTGCTATGAACATAGATGAACAAATGCTTTTGTCATATGATCGGGCATCTCTTGGGTATATTCCCAAGAGTGGTATTGCTGGGTCCAGGGGTAAGTTGATCCCGAATTTCCTGAGAAACCGAAACATGGATTTCCACAGTGGTTGCACAAGATTGCTATCCCACAAGTAATGGATGAGGGTACCCCTTCCTCCACAGCCTCTCCAGCAAAGGCTATCATTGGTGTTTTTGACTTTAGCCATTCTGACAGGTGTAAGATGATATCTCAAAGTTGTTTTGATTTGCATTTCCCTGATTGCTAACGAGGTTGAGCATGACCTTAAGTGTCTTTTGGCCATTTGAACTTCTTCTGCTGAGAATTCTCTGTTCAGTTCAGTGCCCCATTTTTTAATTGGGTTAATTAGCATTTTAAAGTCTAGTTTCTTGAGTTCTCTATATATTTTGGAGATCAGACCTTTGTCTGTTGTGGGGTTGGTGAAGATCTTCTCCCAGTCAGTAGGTTGCCTTTTTGTCTTAGTGACAGTGTCCTTTGCTTTACAGAAGCTTCTCAGTTTTAATAGGTCCCATTTATTCAATGTTGCCCTTAATGTCTGTGCTGCTGGGGTTATACCTAGGAAGCAATCGCCTGTGCCCATCTGTTGTAGGGTACTTCCCACTTTCTCTTCTATCAGGTTCAGTGTGTTCGGGCTGATATTGAGGTCTTTAATCCATTTGGACTTGAGTTTTGTGCATGGTGATAGATATGGGTCTATTTTCATTCTTCTACAGGTTGACATCCAGTTGTGCCAGCACCATTTGTTGATGCTTTCTTTCTTCCATTGTATACTTTTAGCTCCTTTATCGAAAATGAGGTGTTCATAGGGTTGTGGGTTAAAATTCGGGTCTTCTATACGATTCCATTGGTCGACTTCTCTGTTTTTATGCCAGTACCACACTGTTTTCATTACTGTAGCTCTGTAATAGAGTTTGAAGTTAGGGATGGTAATGCCTCCAGACAATCCTTTATTGTATAGGATTGTTTTGGCTATCCTGGGTTTTTTATTTTTCCATATAAAGTTGATTATTGTCCTCTCAAGATCTGTGAAGAATTTTGATGGGATCTTGATGGGGATTGCATTGAATCTATAAACTGCCTTTGGTAGAATTGCCATTTTTACTATGTTGATCCTCCCAATCCAAGAGCAAGGGAGGTCCATCCATTTTCTGGTATCCTCTTCAATTTCTTTCTTCAATGCCTTATAGTTCTTGTCAAATAGATCTATCACTTCCTTAGTTAGATTTACCCCAAGATATTTTATGCTGTTTGTGGCTATCGTGAAAGGTGAAGCTTCTCTGATTTCCCTCTCTGCTTCCATATCCTTTGTGTATAAGAGGGCGACTGATTTTTTGGAGTTGATCTTGTATCCTGCCACATTACTAAAGGTGTTTATCAGCTATAGGAGTTCTTTGGTAGAGTTTTGGGGGTCGCTTATGTACACTATCATGTTATCTGCAAATAACGAAAGTTTAACTTCTTCCTTTCCAATTCGAATCCCCTTGATCCCATTATGTTGTCTTCTTGCTATTGCTAGAACTTCAAGCACTATATTGAAGAGGTATGGCGAGAGTGGACAGCCTTGTCGTGTTCCTGAGTTTAGTGGGATGGCTTTGAGTTTCTCTCCATTTAATTTGATGTTAGCTGTCGGCTTGCTGTATATAGCTTTTATTATATTTAGGTATGACCCTTGTATCCTTAATCGCTCCAATACTTTTATCATAAAGGGATGTTGAATTTTGTCAAATGCTTTTTCAGCATCTAATGAAATGATCATATGGTTTTTTTCTTTCAGTTTATTTATATGATGGATTACATTGATAGATTTACGTATGTTGAACCAGCCCTGCATCTCTGGGATGAAGCCTACTTGATCATAATGGATAATTTTTCGGATGTGTTCTTGGATTCGGTTTGCCAGTATTTTGTTGAGGATTTTTGTGTCGATGTTCATGAGTGAGATTGGCCTGTAATTCTCTTTCCTGGTTGAATCTTTGTGTGGTTTTGGTATCAGAGTAACTGTAGCTTCATAAAAGGAATTTGGTAATGACCCTTCTGTTTCTATATTGTGAAATACATTAAGGAGTATAGGTATTAGCTCTTCTTGGAAGTTCTGGTAGAATTCCGCATTGAAACCATCTGGTCCTGGGCTTTTTTTGGTAGGGAGGTTTTTGATAACAGCTTCTAATTCTTCGCGACTGACAGGTCTGTTTAGATTGTTCACCTGGTCCTGGTTTAATTTTGGTAAATGGTATTTATCTAAAAAAGTGTCCATTTCTTTTACATTTTCCAGTTTTGTGGCATACAGGCTTTTGTAGTAAGATCTAATGACTCTTTGAATTTCCTTTGTATCTGTGGTTATGTCCCCCTTTTCATTTCTGATCTTATTAATTTGCGTATTCTCTCTCTGCCGTTTGATTAGTTTTGATAGAGGTTTATCAATCTTGTTGATTTTCTCCAGGAACCAGCTTTTTGTTTCATTGATTCTTTGGATTGTTTTCTGTGTTTCTATTTTGTTGATTTCAGCCCTCAGTTTGATTATTTCCAGTCTTCTACTCCTCCTAGGTGAGTCTGCTTCTTTTTTTTCTAGAGCTTTCAGGTGGGCTGTTAGGTCTCCAATATGTGCTTTCTCTGTTTTCTTTAAGTGGGCACTTAGTGCTATGAACTTTCCTCTTAGGACTGCTTTCATAGTTCCCATAAGTTCAAGTATGTTGTTTTTTTATTTTCATTGAATTCAAGGAAGACTTTAATTTCTTTCTTTATTTCTTCCTAATCCAGGTATGGTTCAGTAGTTGACTGTTCAATTTCCATGAGTTTGTAGGCTTTCTGGGGGTAGCATTGTTGTTGAATTCTAACTTTAATCCATGGTGATCTGATAAGACACAGGTGGTTACTAATATTTTTTTGTAACTGTGTAAGTTAGCTTTGTTATCGAGTATGTGGTCAATTTTCGAGAAGGTTCCATGAGCTGCAGAGAAGAAGGTATATTCTTTCCTCTTTGGGTGGAATAATCTATAGATGTCTGTTAAGTCCATTTGCTTCATTACCTTCATTAATTCTCTAATTTCTCTGTTAGGTTTCTGTCTGATTGACCTGTCCATTGGTGAGAGTGGAGTGTTGAAAACTCCTACTATTAGTGTGTGCGGTTTGATGGCTGCCTTGAGTTTTAGTAATGTTTCTTTTATGTACGTGGGTGCTTTTATATTAGGGGCGTAGATATTCAGGATTGAGACTTCATCCTGATGAATTGTTCCTGTTATGAGTATAAAATGTCCCTCTCCATCTCTTCTGATTGATTTAAGTTTGAAGTCAACTTTGTTAGAAATTAGTATGGCCACACCTGCTTCTTTGTTAGGTCCATTTGCTAGATAAGCCTTTTCCCAGCCCTTTACTCTGAGTAGGTGCCTGTCTTTGTGGTTGAGGTGTGTT